TCTAATTTCCTGGCAATATATTTAGTGTATTTCAAATAAATGAGACTCATAATGTTGAGGGAAAAGGAAACACAGCAGTTAATTCTTCTGGCATGTAAGTTCCTATTCTTTGAATATTTTTAAGATGTGCCGTATATATTTTTATATTGCCGGCAAGCCCCCCAAAATCTCCTTTTTTCATTCTGTGATGTTTTTCTCATTTCTATCTTTTAGATTTTTGCACTTCCAGTATTTGTTGATTGCTTTGTTTTTTTAAAAATGTGCTTTCTTGTGCATTCTTCCTTGGAGTTTCACTTACAGGTCATTATTTTGGGGGGAGGGGCAGGGGGCTTCATTGTGTTTGGGACATACTCCACTCCACCATGATTATGTTGCTAGTATTTCAGTGAGGTTCAATGAAATTTTCAGATTTTTGCTGATCTGACAGTATCTGACCTGTAAGTGAATGTAAGTTGAATTTGATTTGTGACTCTTGGAATAGGAGAAAGGTTAGGGATAATGTGGCGTTTCTGAATTGCAAAGTTCAAATTATAAAGGGTTGAAGAGGACTAAGTAGTCTGGTGGGTTCACATAATGGTCTTTCGTCTTTGGGAGCTGACTTTAAATCCAGTTTAGACTGGTAATATATTTGGTTAGCCTCAACAGAGGTTATAAGAACAATTTAACGCTTCCTCGGGGGCATGGGTTCATGATGTTAAACTAACAATCTGCCTCGGAGCCAACACAGGATGGAGAATTGTCTCATTAAATTTCTGAATTTCTCTTCCCCCAAACGCTTCCTCTGTGAACAGATCTCTCATTACTTACAAATATGGACTGTCCATTGCTGTAACTTTTAACACTTTATTTTTGTGGCTATCCATTTCAGTGAAGTAGCTGTGAATGAAGTTTCTTTTGAATGGTGTGGTCTGTCACCTATGTTACCTTTTGCAAGTGTGATTACGTTTAAAACACCTCTTTTCTGAGCTGGACTGGTGCTTCCTGCCTTTGTGGGAAAGAGTGAAAATTTGTAATTATTCATATACGGTGAATTGATTCACAAGTCTTAAGCTGTCTTTCCAGTTAGATATTTAGTTCAGTTTGTTTTCAGATTTAGTTTATTTGCAAAATCATTCCTCAATATAGTTTGTTGTATTCGGCATTAGATGTTCTTGTTTTCTACTGTTCTGTTACAGGACACACTGCACTAAACCAAGAGAAGCTCTTGTTCTTTCTTTACCCACGCTGACTTCTGTTCCTTCCCCCCCCGCTACCGCTTTATAGGAAATTGAAGTCTAGGACCAAAACTGTATTCCTGTCTTTACCATTCAGCTAGTGCAATTTAGTGGAATAATTGAGTTGTCCCTCGTGTCTTCGCCAGTATTTCACCAAGCACTACAAGCAGCTGATTGTCAAACTTCTAAGTTAGCAATTCACTCAGTTGTTTGTGAAAGACTAACTCTGTGTTACCAGGGTTGGAGCAGGCATTTTCTTCAGCTCCCTGGTAACGGGGAGCTGACAACAGGAGTTTCCCTTGCATCATTTTTTTTAAAAAAAGAGCAGTGGTTTATGTTTGAATCTCACTGTACTCCATACACTATACTACTACTATACCACAGAAGTTTCTATCCTAGACTTATTTCCCTTTGAGCAACGTGAAATCTTTTGTCTGCTTCAGACTTTTGTAGGGAAAAACACTCCTGGTTTATGTGACTACTTCTTCCTCTTTCAGTTCTATTTAGATGAAGTCATTCTTGCAGAGGTCAATCTTGCAGAGGTCAGAATTGGATAATGCTGCGGTGGCTGGAATGTGTGTGATTTGGATAAAAGGACTGCAGTTTGACTGCAGTCTGAACAATCTACCAGTTCAGCGCTCTTAATTTAGTACCCTCACCCACTCACTGTAAACTCAGTTTGCCAACCTCCCCAATCCCAGCCATGCTCCACTGGCTCCCTGCCTGCCAGCACGTTAGTGTCTAAATTTTCACCTTCACCTGTAAATCCCTTCGTTTCCGAGCACCTCCCTATTTCTCTGTCCTTCTCCTACCTCACTCCTCAGCACACCTCCTCGGCTTGACTAACTCGAGATTATGAGCGCTCCTCACCCTCTTCACACCACTGTTGAAGGCCAAGCATTTAGATTTTATACCCTAATTTCTTGAATTCCCTTCCTCTGCTGTTCTGTCTCATCTCCTTTCTAAGTCTTTTAAAGTGTACCTCTTCACCCCCAAAAGTGTGATCACTCAATCCACGACTGTTTGTGGGACACCGCTGTACGCAATTGGCTGCCGTGTTTCACCCCACAAAATGCAGAGTCAATATAGTCTGTGAATCGCTTTATTGGGTCTCAATGACGTGATAAGGTGCTATATCAAATGCAAGGATTATTATTATGCATATGGTCATTTCTCCCTTATCTCTTGCTCAACCACCAACCAACCACCAACCCCACATTTGTAGAAAACAACAACTTGTATAGTGTCCTTCGTGTCAGGGCACTAGACTATCGGGGAACCTGGACCCCTTCCAAAATCGCATTTAAAAATTGTTCTGTGGGGTTATTAAGTGGTTAGAGCCGCAGCTTACTGGGGCTCACTGGTTTGAATCCTGATCTATCCTGACTTTGTTGATCTCAGCTTAGCCAGGTTTGCATGAGTAAAACTAAATTCACCAGCTGGGGTTTCTGCTCCCTGTTAAACCTACCCACTTCATTCACAAACACGACTTCAAAAGTTTGAGATAAAAGGAGAGTTTGGAGCTACTTCAAAGTACCTCTCCATCTTAAAGAAATAATTAAATGTCAATTTTCTTACCTTGCGCAAACATCATTAAACTGAAATTAGGACATTGATACTGTCTTGCAAGGAGGATTGATGATTAAAGGGCCATTTTACTTTTCCTACTGCTGTATTTTGGGCCATAGTGGATAAGCTGCATAAAGTGACTCCAGTGATCTGACAATTCAAGTTCTTGCTTTAATGGTGCTGGTTTTGATGCTGATCATTAGGTTAAAACTGTGCTGTAATGCACAAGCCAATAGCATACAGAAAGTTTGTGAATGAGGAAGAATATTATTTTAGTCCTTTATTTTGAATTTAGTTAAACCTCCATTTATAAAGCTTTCTCACTTACTTCCTCACCTTTTGGTTCTCTTTTTGATATGATGTGCCTTGAAGCTTTTGTGTATTTTAACTTTCTTGCGTTAACTTAGCTTCTCTACTGCCAACTTCAGTCAGTAACTGAGGGATGGTTTAGACTAGAGCAAGGCCCTTATGTATACAATGGAGCAGGAAGACTCTTGCCTTGGATAGCTCTTGGACTGAGGCAGACATTTTAAAGAAACAGCATCCCAGGCCAGGTTGTTTTATCCCCTTGGTTATGGAGTATTTGTATTTGGAAGTTGAACTGTAGAAGGCTATATTTATCGTACAGGTTTTGACATTCTGCATGTTGACTTGGACTTTATTGAAAATGGAGTTCTGTACTACAATCATGGGGTTTGAATAAATATGGAAGTGTGAGATACTTGAGAGTGAAGGCCATAGGCCAGTCTAATAAAGACAAAATTTGTAAATAAAGTAGGTTTAACTTAAAATCGCAAAAGTTTTGTACACTTGTTTTAATTGAAACACATTGGAAGTGCCCCAAAAATATACAATCAATTCACTTTACGGTGTATTCTGTGAAGCCCTTTGAGTTGTCTTGATGATGTGATAAGGTGGCATATCAAGTGCTAGGATTATTATAAATGGAGAGGGAAGAGAATAAAGAGCCCCTTTCACTTAATGTTGTAGTTTTTGCTTCTCCAAAATAAATAATAAATGAGTGAAATATAAAGGGAATGTAGTGGATCCTAATGAGACTCTGTACATCCCAATACCTGTGTGTTGTGCTGAAATTGTGCTTTCAATTTCCAAGATTGGAAACTCACTACTGTCGCTTCCCAGTGTTTCCATCCTGTTAATTTGGCGAACAACAGATTTTTTTTTCTCATGTTCAATCTGTTTCATTGCATAGAAACATAGGAATGTACCTCACCAGAAAACACCATTGAGGTCCATCTGGCTGGTCCCAAAGTGGGAAAAAAATCCAAATCATAATCTTTAATTTATTTCTTGGCCAAATACCTGTCAAGTTTCCTGTATGAATTTGATAAATAAGTCTCCGCCTTTTCCTTGGCAAGTCTGTGTCACGTATTCGTTACTCTGCGTGAAGTAATTAAATCTGAACTATGTGTTTACATTGCCTTTCCTGAGCTCAAGTCCTTATCCCCTTTGTCCTTTTTTGCCTGGTAAGTTTATCTATGCCCTTTAAGATCTTGAATACTGTACTTCAATAAGAAAAAAATCTTCAATCCACAACTGTTTGTGGGACGCTGCTGTGTGCAATTGGCTGCCGCATTTCGCCCACAAAATATGCAGTCAATTCATTTTACAGTATATTCTGTGAAGAGCTTTGAGATGTCTCGAAGATGCGCTCAGGTGTTATATCAAATTATTCATAACAAATTATGTTATTATAATAATCTCTTTTAGTTGTATTTTCCCCAATGTTTTAAACCTGTTCTCCATAAACCATGAATCCTGATCTTTCAAGAGAGCGATCAGTATCTGAGGTGTAGTTAAACCTCTGAGATGCCCCGTCTTGAATTGAGACCTGTTGGAGATTTGCACTATGACTGAGATCTTTCACCCAGTACTGGTACAATCTCAACCCAGTAATCTATATTACTGCCAAAAACATTCAAGTGGGAATGCATGCATTATGTGGGAATGTATGCCAGGAAATAACAGACTACGGTGAGGCATCATATTAAAATGTGCTAGAAACGTACAGTCATAGTATCTGGTAAACTTTAGCCTAAGAACTGCATGTTTCCCTTTTTGTTAAAATATAATTGGGAAAAACCGAGTCTCCTTAAAGAAGCTAGCTGAAAATTGTGCACATCTATCTGTATGCTGTGCTGGATCAATAAAATGTGCTCTTGAATCTTATTCAGATATTTTTAATTTTTTTTACAGCGACTCCGAAGACTTTCAACAAAATACAGAACCGAAAAGATCTATCCAACAAACACTGGAGAAAAGGAAGAAAATGTTAAGAAGAACAGATATAAGGATATCTTGCCATGTAAGGTTTTTGTTTCTTTTGTTACAGTTTTCTTTTGGAAATTATCATAAGATTGACTTCTGTTATTCAATATTCAGACCACGCAATGATCAAAAAACAAACAAATGTAACAATCATTAGTTATGAAGAGTCGGTGAAGAATTTATAACTGAATAGGGTGATCTCATTGGGAGTTTATTTGGGGGAAGAGTTTGGGTCACAGAGAAGATTTGAGGCTGAAACTATAGTTGATTTAAAGAGCAGGTTATAGTTCTGAAATACAGTACCTCGTTACATATACGTGCTTCAGTTTTGTTCAACTACTGGGAACTTTACAATGCAAGTCCATGCTCTCTTGCTGTGTTTCTTTCTTCTTCTTCCACTCCCCCTTCCTTTGGGGAAGCATCTGGTTGGTGGTGGCAGTCATTTACCCAACTGAAATCAGGAACTTATGTAGGGAAGTTGTACTGACATGTTGGTATCCTATCATTATTGTGCAGTGTGTGTGTGTGTATAATATATTATGTATATATAAACATGTATACACACACCACAGAGCTGAGGAAAAGTTTATAAACTTTTATTTGCTGATTTTCTTCACTCTGACTCCTGTGGGTACTGACTGATTCTGGTTCTATAGATGCAGGCATAACTGTGGTTCATCGCCCATATCCACATACTTCATGGGTCAGCCTGGGTGATGAGAAGCTGTTTGTGCAGCTCAGCCCAAGACTAGTTTAACCCAGTGTTCATTCACACACTTTCCAGCAGAGGTCACTGAATGGTGGTGACGAACAGGAACTCTGGCCTTTTTCCCCCCTAGGATCCAGTATTGAAATTGGATAAATTGTAGACCAGGAAATCAATCTGTAACCTTACAGTGATGCATCAGATGATCAGGCAAAGCCCACGAGACCCCCAAAGATTGATCACTGAACCCACGACTGTTTGTGGGACACTGCTGAGTGCAATTGGTTGCCCACAAAATATGCAGTCGATCCACTTTACAATATATTTTGAAGCGCTTTGAGGCGTCCGATGACGTGATAAGGTGCTATATTAAATGTTGTTATTATTATTCGTGTGAGGGAAGTTTTTTTATCTAGTAGTCTTGTAAATATGATACCAAAAGTGGTACTACTACACAATATGTGATCTGAATTCAACACAAGAATTTGTAGGTTAGACAATGTCGTATGAATTTTACTCTATTCAATTACCGGTTGTTACAGATGCAGCAGTAATAAGAATTTGTATCTTGGTCTTTGTGTTAGCCAAATTCAGTTTGGGAAAAAGAGTAGGAAAAAAACAGGGTTTCTGCTCCTGATCAGCATCCAGTGATTTCCTTTGATAAATACAGAAGGGTGTTGCTTCATTGCAATGTTATTTCCTCTCCATTTCTCCCACCCTCTCAATTAATTTGCTTTTACTAATTGGTTTTGGCATGACATTTTGTTGTTGTAACATTTCAATGGGGCTTTCTGATACTTAAATTTGAGTCCAAAATTTGAATCCAATAAATTCTCAAATTCGGCTTTTAAGCACCCTTTCAGATTGTCAAAAGAGCTCATACGTTGGTGAGATTGGCTACTTAGCCCCTATGGTTTTTGTAATAATGAAATCAGATCATAGAATAAAAAGTATTAAACTGTTTTTAATGATTGTTAAACTGTTATTTCTTTCCGTTTCCCTTTACCAACCTATAGTTGACCACAGCAGAGTGAAGCTTGCGTTGAAAACATCACAGGTGGATTCGGATTATATCAATGCAAATTTTATCAAGGTACTTTCCTGCACATATTTTACTTGTCACTTAATCTGGAGGGAACAGGCTATTGTTACATAAAGAGATTCATATCAATATTTCAAAAGGTTTTATCGTTTGTATCAACGAATTCAAGTAAAATGCAGTTTCTAGTTTAGATACTAGAAATTGGAAGGTGTCTAGATATTTTAATCTAGAATGATGCTGATAATATGAAGCCCTCATCGTGACATTTATTGGATGCTGTTGCACTGCGCTTATTTGAAAAATCATAAATGTTTTGCTGTAGATTTTATGTTGCATGAACTCCTTCACAATCGCTAATCCATTTGAACTTCATTAACTAACTTCAAAGTAATTTTTTTGAATGTAAGAGCTCTGAATAGTTCCATACTGCATCCTTTGAAATGGTGTGTGCCACAGGGTGTCTTGCGGTTATGTTAACTTGTGATGGTTAGCCTACAAAGTTTACACGTTTATTTGCTGTGGTAGTTTGCCAAAATCATGTGCTTGTTCTCATTAAAAACCCTCACCATGTAGTGAATAATAGAATTCAGTGAACATTGAATCTGTTTTGTGTTTTAGTTGAATATTAGTCATGTTAACATATCATCGTATAATTTGTGGGTATTTTTAAACATTTATTTCATTGCAGTACTGAAAGTAAAAAAAAATACCAAATGTAATTAATATCTTTTCTCCCTTTTCAGGGAGTGTATGGGCCAAACTCCTACATTGCTACCCAGGGACCACTAGCAAACACTGTATTAGATTTTTGGAGGATGATCTGGGAGTACAATGTTGCAGTAAGTCTCTTTTTCTTGGCCGATTCAGTGACTTTTGGTTTAAAATGTTAAATCCTTTTCCAGAGGAGCTCCAGAAAATCGGTGTGAAAAGTAACAATGGTTTTGCAGGCAATACGAAGTGCCAAATGGCTTGGATTTGAGCAGGAAACAAGAATTAATATAATATTTTCACCAGCTCACATCATGTTAGCGGTTTGCTTAAACCAATTGAGGGATTTTAACGTACTTTTCCTTCATATTTTATGGAGTCCTGTAGCTCAGTGGTTAGAGCACTCGCTTTGCAAGCGAGAGACCTGAGTTCAATTCCAGGCAGAGGGCGAAACCTTTGGCAAGTTTCCTTACTCCACACACCTAATAATAATCCCTCCAAAAACAATAATAAATTGGTCATTTTCAATCCACGACTGTTTGTGGGACATTGCTGTGCGCAATTGGCTGCCGCGTTTGCCCACAAATATACAGTCAATTCACTTTACAGTGTGTTCTGTAAAGCGCTTTGGGATGTCCTCCAGACGTGAAAAGTGCTATATCAAATGCAAGGATTATTATATTATTTCCACGAAGCTTGAATGCTTGTAGTGTGTTCATTTACTGCATCAGTTATAGCATTTGTCTAGTTTCTATTGGATTTAATCTCGATTGCTGCAGTGTATCTGTTGTGTATGCCGTGCTAATTGCATGTTTACAGCTGATTGTATGTACAATACAAAGGCCACCTGATGGCAAAATATTTCCATCCGGGAGTCGTAGCGAATTTGTGCTTTTGATTAACTTTATGTGTTGAACATTTGTAGATGGAAAGCTATTATCTCTCCATTTAACTCCTGTTATGAGAGTGGCTCTGCAGTTGCTATACTATATTGGCACATTAGTGCTGAACACAAAGCTGTTAATCTGTTTACAATGGAATCCTGACAAATGCACAACTAATTTGTTGAGACATTTTATCTTAGACTAGAATTTCTATGTAATGGAAGTAGTTAGAAATCACGTGTTGGAATTCTCTCGGGGAATCCTTTTACAGACTCTTCATGATTTTTTTAATTAAAAAAATTATGTAAAATAGAAGTGAATTAAAAATTGTTGCACCAGCAATTTAGCTAAAGCTGGCTATTATAACTACGAGTGAAACATTTTGTTCTTTTAAAAAAAACATTGTCAGTGGATTTGCTTTTAATAACATTGATTCAACTTGGGCTGCCCTGCAGTCTCATTTGTGGGTTATTGATCTGTACAGACTTGAAAGATCTTAGATTTGATCATGGTCTAGGATACATTAAGAACCACAAATTGCATTTATGTAGTGCCTTTCACTCAGTTAGGGCGTTGATTCATGCATCACAATTGACTTTGCATCCTTCAATATTGTTCCAAGTTTTCCTTTATCTTTTATGAAGACTTTAATCAGAATAGGACCATCTACTTTTGTAGACCATTCAGTCTAGATACCCACTACTTTGTGCAGGATAAAGTATTATCCTGATCTGCAGTCCTATTTGAAATATAATAATTTTAAACCGGTTGCTATGTCAAATAACACACTTATTAAAATCTATCCTGCATTTACGACTTTAAGCCATTCTTTTCCTTCCACCCTGACTTTTTTAATGAAAGCAAGTACGTAACATGGAGCTCATAAATCCTGGAATCATCCATGTTGGTCTTCTTTACTAGCCCTTCCAATGACCTCTGAGGGTAGGGTTCCTATAAATCCACTTAGTATTGTGCCTCACCAATGTCTGTATAAGGTTACAATAACTTCTTTCAACTTGTACTAATATGATCTCTAGAAGAGATTAGGTTTGATGGTTTCAGAATGACAACAAATCTAGAATGAATTATTAATAATCACACCTAAATCCTTTATCTTTCTCCATCTCAGCTAATAGATGCTTAATTTGGTCAAGTGCATTGCCTTCTGTTGCTCTGTATTGAAATCTCATCTGCCTCTCTTAGGCCATAAACATAAATTTGTTTTCATTTCTGGTATTACAGATGGTGGTAGTATGATGTATTACAGCCTTGAGATTTAAAAGGAAGGGATTAATCCGATATTAATACGCTTCTGTCTTTTTCCACAAAACCCATGGATTATTTAACTATTTCTTGTATTAGAAAGATGCTGGGAATCCATTGTGTAATATTTAGAAATTATTGTGTATTTTGCTTGAATTAATAGATGTGTATAGCAGTATTTTGTACCTGAATTGAAGAAAAATCCATTATGTTTTGAACTAGTTCCACCTTTTCTTGTTTGCAGATAATTGTTGTGGCGTGCCGTGAGTTTGAAATGGGGAGGGTGAGTTTTCTTATTTATTCATATTCTAACTGCTGCATTTTATTTTTCAGTGCAAATATAAATGCCGAGTTCATCATACAACTTTTTTTTGTACAGATTCCTGGTGCATGCAAACATCCTAAATCAATTGCATCACCCGTGATACAGTTTTGTTAGTTTTTATGCTATGAAATAATTTGTTCTCTGTGCCTGTGTTCTGTTTCCCAGGCACCAACATACAGTGCTATTCCTTATCCCTCTCGCCCTTCAGTCAGAGGAAGCAAAAAAAATCCTGTTAAAGCTCCTGTCCCAGAGTGGTTAATGGGCTCTGCGTTTTGTTTCGCTTCCTCTTCCTGAACATCAGAAAAGGAGAAGGAAGTAGCATTGAAGCTGTGATGCTGGGGAGTGAAGCAGAAGCACATTGTAAGTGGGAATGGTAGATATGCCTTACTTGCATACAAAGTGAAACTGCTTACAGCATGTTTGCTTGGCATTTTGAACGAGCATACAAATATTGCGTGGGCACATTTGTGGCTGAAGACTCTTCTTGTTGCATTTTCATTATCAAATATGATTTGCTGCACAAGTTAGTGCCGGTATGATTTTTTTTGGTGTACTTTGATTGTGAAGAAAATTATAGTGCGTAGGTGAAACTTTTTAAGGTCCAAAAATCTTTGAGAGATGAACTTGTAGCCCCTCTGATTGCACAACTGGTAAAGTCACAGCCAATGGGAGCGAGAGACCTGGCCAAGGCTTGAATCATCGAGGTGCTTGATCCAATGACTGCCAGTATAGATGCCCATATTATAGAATCATAGAAGTATACAGCACAGAAGGAGGCCATTCGGCCCATCATGTCTGTGCCGGCTCTTTGAAAAGATCTGTTCAATCCCACTTCCCCCGCTCGCTTCCCCACAGCCCTGCAACCTTGTCCTTCCCAAATAATTATCTAAGTTTAGCAGCAACAACGTATTGTATGGTTAGCATCAACAATGTTGAGTTACACGTGCCAAAGAAATCACTCCAGTTTGCTATCTGGTTTGCTTAAAATGTGAGTGTGAAGTTTGAGTGAGTCAGGATTGTGCTTACCTCATTGTTTGATATCCACATGACAGTATGCTCTCTCATGAACACTGGGCAATTGGGTGGATGGTGCCACCGCATGTCTGGCACCCACAAAGCTATGTTGCAGAACACGTTGGTGCCGTCAGGAGGGGAGGGGGAGAAAACTAAAGAGGGCTGGGGGGGGGGGGGGGGGGTGAACATAAATTTTCTTAACCCTCTCATGTCCGTATGTCATGGATTGAAGTTAAGTTACTTTCAATGTTTCTTCATAGAAAAAATGTGAGCGCTACTGGCCCATACATGGGGATGGTCCTCTTCGACTTGGAGAATTTCTAGTTACGTGTGTAAGTACTTCGACTTCAGTGTTTTTTTAAGGATTTTTGGGAGAAGTTTATCATTTTCTGTACGGGGAAGACTGGCAAGTCGTCTTTCACAATTCAGGTGAAAATTAATCGCTTGCAGAAGTTCAGTTAAATATGTACTGCTTTATAGAAGGTAATTGATGTGTGTGTATATATGGCTAGAGATTTTCTATTTACTGATACACTACACTATTAAATTAGCATTTCTTGGAGGAGGCTAGTATGATGTTCAATGGATATTTATGCAAGAAACTGTCACAATGACATTCTTGACATTTAGCAAAACAGAGTGGCATTTTGAGTAGTTCAGTTGCTGGTTTTCAAGTATAGGTTAGTGATGTTTTTTCTGTCTTCATATTCATTGGCTCCTACTTATAAGAATAATAATCCTTGCATTTGATATAGCATCTTATCACATCGTTGAGAAATCTCAAAGCACTTCACAGAATATACTGTAAAGTGCAGTGACTGTATTTGGTGGGTGAAATGCGGCAGCCAATTGTGCACAGCAGTGTCCCACAAACAGTTGTGGATTGAGTGATATTATATTATTTGGAGGAATTGTAACCCCTGGAAAGCGATCCACTAATTAACTAACGACTGGGTTCCTACTTTCTGCTAGGTAAACAGATGTGTGTGGAGTAAGATGTATATAAGGTTTCGCGCCCGCCTGGGAATCCTAACCCAGGTCCTCGCACTTGCGGGGCAGTGCTCTTAACCACTACACTACAGGATTCCATTTATGGTTTTTGAGTCGCCTTCTTGTTTTGACTCAATGCATCCTTGTAAAATTTTATATATTGATAGATTCAAGCTCTGAAATTTCCATTTTTCCTGATGTATGGAAATTTATGAATGCATGTTTGGCCGGTGTTTATATTGATAACTCTTATTAACTATAGCTTTTAATATATATGTATAAAAAGACCCATCAATCCATCAGTGAATGGAATGTCAGGTTTGTTAGTGATCCAGAAGTGGAGTGGGGAGGGGGATTTATCATGGATATCTCTTAAAGGTAATCTGATATTTGTACTGAACTATAAAGCAATGAAATTGAATTCTTTTCTTGTATGAGGTTCAAGTCCTGCAAAACAGCAGCTGTGACTGTATATCAGTAGTCTGATGCATCATTTGTTTTGTGTGCCAGATAATAGAACCATAAAACAAAAAAGCTGAAACCTGAGGCATCTATTATGGCGTGGAATTTATTGTTGTGAAATTACCTTGGACTGTGGATCACACTGTTCACATTTCCATTATTAGGATTATGTAGCAAAAGATTCCATGTCCTTAATTGATTTTGGCATCCTGTGTCAGCAGTCTACTATACAAATGCTAACTACTCCTGAAATACTTGAAGTTAACAAGCATTCAGTGTAATTCAATTGGGCAGTCACACAGTGGTAGCTGACTTCATTCTACTCGTCTAATAAGTAATTATGTCATTCTTCAGTTTTGATAAGTAAATATTCACCAGGCCCATTAGGCTTTAAAATATAGTTTAATGTTGTTTGTTTCTCTACTGTATTCTTTATACCTGTATGAGTGAATGCTGGAGGATACTTATTTCCAGTGCTTTATGTTTTCAGTGTTAGAGGTCTTCCACTCTTGTCATTGAAAGAGGTTATCTTAAATACTGGTGATTCTTTTCTATCTTTTGATTTATAGTCAAGTCCAGTGACTGTATTTGTATGTGAACCAATTTGCAAACAGCAATGTCCCACAAACGGCCATAAAGTGAAAGATCCAATTTTATCTGGAGGATTTTTGATCAAAACACTGGGTACAATTCCCTTTTGCTTTTCAAATTATGCCATGAGATCTTTAATGTCCTCCTAAACAGGCAGGTGGCACTTCGGCTTAACGTTTCATCCATAACAAAGGTCGGCCAGCACTGTATTTTGTCAGCCTCGACTGAGTTCCAAGTCCTGCAAGTCTGATAGGGCTTGAACCTACAGCCATCTGACTCGGTGAAGAATGCTGCCAACCGAGCCAGACTGACCCCTAAATAGATATCTTGTCACACACTGCATAATTAATTGTGCAGTCATCTTGAATGAACCTGTTATATAGAGCTGTTTGGAGTAAGATGCTCCTAGAAAAGATTATTAAACATGAGTACAATGCACAACTTGCACTTATATAGTGCCCTCCACCAGGGTCTCAGTGCTTAATACTGTATACAGAGCAAGTATACTGTATCATGTATACTGTATACTGTATTTAATTTGGAAGTCATTAAGAAATTATTTAATTAGTTTTCATTTATTAACTTTGGAGATACCACTTGATGTAAGATTGATAATATCTCAAAACAAATTTTGACTAATCTGCAAGTGCAGTACTTGACTTTCACGAACACCCTAATAACTTGAAATACAGCATCCATTAGTGTCTGCATTTATCAGCTTCCAAACTTTAGTGCAGAATTGGAGATGAAGGATGAAAACATAGGGTAATAATAATTTGGCAGTTTGTGGGACATTGCTGTGCGCAATTGACTGCTGAGGTTCGCCCACAAAATATACAGTCAATCTCCTTTACAGTATATCCTGTGGAGCGCTTTGAGACATCTCAGTGACGTGATAAGGCGCAAAGATTATTGTTAAAAAGAATAGGATATAAACAAAGTCGTTTCAAGAACTGAGTGAAGACATTAACAGTTCTAAGTGTCCAAATTAGTGCAGTTAATATGAAGGACTAGAAAATATCGGGGTGTTAATGAACATCTGGACAGACTTCACTTGTGCAACTTTAACATCTGCTTTTGTTTGCTCTTGTTGATCACAAGTGGGAGGCCTTGGTTTCCTTCTTGTAATAGCCGAGGGAAATTTTGTACCATGCAGGAAGTCTAAATTAAGTATTCATGTAAGAGACTTGTAACAGTCTTTGAAACCCAAGGGCCATGTGACTGGGGAGGAGGGGAAGGAAAATGACAATTTTTTTCATAAATTTGGACTTTCTCCTTCAGATTTTTGTCTCCACTAAAGGCTATATAAACTGTTCAACTGGTGAAAGGGATTGAGCAGCGTTGGAAAGTTTAACTAAGCACTATCTTTATTGTCTAGAGGACTTAATAATGTAGGAAGCCATGCAATAGTTTAAGCATATACCTGATTTTTTGAAAGGATATCCTATTGTGGAAATGTTGTTAATCTAGTATTTGTTTTGGTAGATTTAGTATGATTGCTTTAATGATTAAACAATTGTTTCTGTGTAAACCTCACCTGTTTTTCTGAAGTATGTGAGACCCAATGTACAATAGATTCCCCATTTTTGATCCAGTGGATCCAAGTGTCCATTTTAATAGAATTTGAGGCCTTGAGCTTGTGGCTTTTATGGCTTTAGTTGACTGGGCCGATCAGCATTACTTTTTTGTGAACTCAAATGCTCAAGGAAGTAAATATTTATGGATGTGAAAAGCCTTGATTTTGGGCTGATTAGTTTCTTCATGGGGGACCTTATTATAATGATAATAATAATAATAATCCTTGCATTTGATATAGCGCCTTATCACATCTGCAAGACATCTCAAAACGCTTCACAGAATATACTGTGAATATACTATAAAGCGAATTGACTATATTTTGTGTCCGAAACGCGGCAGCCAATTGCGCATAGCAGTGTCCCATAAATAGTTGTAGATTGAGTGATCAAATTATTATTTTTTTAAGGTATTATTACCCAAGGAAAAGCGATCTGCCAATCGTCTTACAACCGGGTTCCTACTCACTGCTAGATAAACAGAGGCATGTGGAGTAAGGAAAGTTGCCTAATATTTTGCCCTGCCTGGGAATCAAACCCAGGTCTCTCCCTTGCGAGGCAAGTGCTCCAACCACTAAGCTACAGGACTCCACCTTACTTCCCATTTTCATTTGAATATCTGGAAATCTATAATGTAGTATTTAAATTGGAGGATGGTTAAAAGAAATAATTTGAAGGCTGCTGTTACATTGCCAAATACATACAGTCAATGTTGCCCCACATCCATTCCCAATGGAACTCTGGTATTTTGAATAAAATTATTGTTTTGAAACAGCCAAAATCCCTGGCATGTTGGCATAAGAATGAATATAACTGTGACGCTTTTCAAGCTTTGGCCTAAACTACTGGGAGTGGAAATAGAGGTGGTCACATTTGCAACCGTAAATCGGCCTCACTTGTGATTAGGTGTCGTAATAGGCCAGGGAGAGGCATTCATTTTGAATCATGCGAAGATCTGGTTAATTGTCATTTGGACAGCATGGGGAGCTGTCTGGGGTGAGAGTTTTCTACAATAGACTTGCTGTTGCATTGCCTTATGGCAGTTAAATTTGGAAAAATATTTTTGGTCTGGATGAATATTCTCTGAATCCAATACCATGAATAATTCATCTCGATATGAAGATGCAGTATCCTTCCAGCTAAATTTTAAACTTTGTTAAATTGGCAGATGTGAACTTGGAACTACATGCCCTCTGGTGTTTTCATGTAAATGGGTGCTTTCAGATCCCAGTTCTTTTTTCCTCTCTCGCCGGTAACAGATTGGGAGAGTGCTCAGAGAATGAAGTGCGCTGAAATGAATGTGGACCTGTGTGTTGAAGCTCAAGATATCTGTGATGGGAATGGAACTTTTCAAATTTGTTGTATAAGCCCACATGTTAGATTTAGCATGTCTCTACCTACGCCCTACCCACCTTTGGAACAACTCCTTAATCTACACCACTTCTGTTTCTTATATTAGCTTCCTTGGGAACAGCACACGTGTCTTTTTTTTGCTAGTAATGACTGAATCACAGAAAATTTTACATTGTATTACATTACACCATCCAATAGAAATTCAACTCAATTTATCCCCCTAGCTCGTTTCACTTTAATTCCTTATAACAATAATCCTTGCAATTGATAGAGCATCTTATCACGTCTATCAGATGTCTCCAAGTGCTTCACAGATTATACTGTAAAGTGAATTGACTATATTTTGTGGGCAAAACGCAGCAGCCAATTGAGCACCACAGTGTTTCACAAACAGTTGTGGATTAAGTAACTAAATTATTTTTATTTTTTTGATGGGATTATTACCTTTGTAAAACCAATCTGCCAATCGATTAACAACCGGGTTCCTACTTACTGCTAAGCAAACAGAGGCGTGTGGAGTAAGGAAACTTGCCCAACGTTTCCCCCTGCCCAGGAATCGAACCCTTGCGAGGCGAATGCTCTAATCACGAAGCTATAGGACTCCATAATTCCTTAAACTCATTTGAGAAGAAACTTTTACTCCATTGATCTGAAGTGAACTTGAATTCAGGTCTGGAGTTGAAAAGATCGTTTCAACCCCTGTTCTTGTATTATCCAGTTCTTGAAATGTTTCGTTTTAGGAAACAGACTTGTTGAAAAATATTTGGTTGTCATTAATATCTGTGTGGAATATCTTAGTGGTTATTTTCTATGGAGTAGCAAGAGTCTTTTCAGTAGATCTGTTAAAACACAAGCATGTTTATCCCTGATGTAGCTGCAATTTTGTTTTTAAAAAAAGCTTCCTTTTCCTATCTTCTACCTCCTTACCTAGAGTATGATGAATATTCTTTGGATCTAAGGTTCCCAATACTTTCTACTATGTTGGTAAACTAAACCATACAGAATTAATTGCTTTCAACATTTCCCATTATTGTAGCATGTGACTACCAGGATGGTAGAAGGCAGACGAGGTGGACCTTGGTCTTTTCTTGTCTGGCAATTTCAATGTTCCTATTCTAATCAAATCTGTAAGTAGTTTTAAGAGACTGCTGTATTGAAGAAAAATCTAACTCTTAAATTAGAAACAGTTAGTTAGTTCTTTTAAAAAAAACATCATTGATGGTTGCATTACATGTCAAGACATTCAATGGCAACAACAAATTATATTTGTACAGCGCCGTTCGCATCTTGAGGATGTCCCAAAGTGCTGAAATTCCATTCATGTAAATCTTTCCAAGAAAAAAGGATTCACAGGAAAAAAATAACTGAACACTTGAATCTTTTTCCCCTCCTTTCTTGAAGCTGTTTGACTCCTTTTCCCCCCCTTCAGCTGGTGTAAGCTTCCTCAGGCACTGTGCACCTTCTGAAATCCTGCCCAAGTAACCATTAACGTGTGAGCCCTGACAGTTAGTTTTAGCAGCATAATTGAACTGTTGCTGAATTTTATCGTTTTATCATTTACCTTCCAGCAAGGTCTCTGGAAGCCTCTACCTAGCAATGAGGCCAATTGTAATGGTGTCTGATACTAGGTAACCTCACCAAGCAGGAATGAACTGTTCCAATAACCTTCCAATCTGTATAAACATGGTAGTTATCCGGCAGTACCTTTGCCCAATAGACCTTTTGTAGTGCTGCTAACACTTTACTTTTCATCATCTTTTGCAGTCATAGTTTGGTGCTGTTGGGAATGTTGCAGGTGTACTGTGCTCACCAGTGATATCCTTTTTCCTCTCTCCAGGAAGCTGAACAAGCTAGGAACGACTATTTTATAAGAACTCTATTAGTGGAATTCCAGAATGTGAGTATTTTTAATGCAAATGTAGTGTTTTAAAGATTAATTTTCCTGATGAAACTTACTTTTCCACATGTTCACGTCGTATAACTTTAGTGAAATGTCGATAAGTGTTCACCCGACGAATTCACGCCAAGTTGCTTAAAAATGGCTTTTTAGTTCCTTGTGTCATGATGATTCAACTTTTTAAACTATAACTCAATTAAAAATGAAGTCACAAAGAAGGTGGTGCTTCTTCACTTTGCGTAATGAATACTGTGGCCATATTTATTACTTGAATTAGAAATTCTAATTTCTGTTGCAGGGAATAGAACATTTTCTCATTTTTATTTCACAATATCGGTATTGAGTATTCCCAGACCTGATTCAGTATATCTTATTTTGCTTAAGCGTGTTCTTTAATCCCAGCCTCACTAGTGTATCCCTTCTGTGCTTGTTTTCATTATCATTCATTGTTTTGACCAATCTCATAATAATAATAAAAAATAATCCTTGCATTTGGTATATAGTGCCTTTTATATCAGGTGTCCCAAAGCACTGCACAAGATTTACTCTAAAGTGTAGTGACTGTGTTTTGTGGGCAAAAATCTGAATGAAACGGCCAGCTTGTGTTAGATTGTTGACAGTTTTGTGCTTCTTGTTTAGTTTTTCATTCATTTTCTTTCCCCACCCCCCCATTCCCGCTTCTATTTTGTACAACTACTGTCACTAGTAAGAGTTAGGTAATTCAGGCTGTGGTGTTTGCTGATCTGTGATCCAACAGCAGCAGATTTAATTGTATCCTCGTCTTTCCCTCTTCCCCACTGACAGCTATATCATGCATTTATGCTTACTCTCTTGTTGTTAGTACTAAATTGAATGTTAGAAAAATGTAAAGTCAGATGTGCACTGGAATTAATTCTTCATTTGTTAATCTTTGCTGTTGATAAATTGGAGAGAATTAAACAATTGTATCTTTCCTATACATAGGAATCTCGTAGACTATATCAGTTTCATTACATAAACTGGCCTGACCATGATGTTCCATCTTCATTTGATTCCATCTTGGATATGATCAGTTTGATGCGAGAATATCAAGATCATGAGAAGGTGCCTATTTGTATCCACTGCAGGTATGGAAGATAATAATAATAATAATAATAATCTTTGCATTTGATACAGTGCTGTATTATATCAGAAGGACACTTCAAAGCACTTCACAGTTTTTGTTGTGTATTTGTAGGCAAACACGGCAGCACAATTGCGCACAGCAATGTCCTACAAAGAGTCATGAAACAAATGACCAATTTTGTTTGGGGGATTATTGGCTACGACACCATGAGAACCTCCCTTCTCTTTTCCAATAGTGCCAAGGGATCTTTAACGTCCACCTGAACAGGCAGTAACCTTGCATCACATTGTGTGTAACAGTAACAAACAGTAGTAGGCCATTCAGACTGTGATACCGATTTCACCATTTTATTAGATCTTTGATAGATCTTGGAATTCCATTGCCGCCTGCATCAAAAATTGATTAATTGGTGACTTGAGCATGGAGTGGGTTTAGGAGGTTCTGTTGTCAATGCAGAGGAAAAACATTTTAATCACAGAAACAGTTTCTTTGCTGAATATCATGCAAAGAGTCAATCCGGACGGTGCTAAAAATGGTCTTTTGGCAATACACTGTATATACTGTACCAGGAGACCAAACCAAGCTTCTCTCAGCTGCTATATACAGGGGTTTGTTAACCATTCCTAATGCAAGCCAGGAAACTGGGGAGCCTGGGTGCCTGAATGTCAGCATGCAAGAACAAGGAAGACTTCCATAGCTTAAATTTGCAACTGAAACTAATACTTATACAGTATTTTGATTCCCAACGGATAGTATTGTGAAAGGATCAGATCAAATAGCCAAAGGGACTATATCATCTGAGCTAATCCGGAGAACTGCTTCCTGAGGCCATTTTTAACTTCATATGAAAAATGCTGGTCGGTAGAGGAGTCGACTTTGTTTTAAATCTTGGAATTTTTTTGGGGGGGAAATGTTCATTTCTTTAGCAGGTAACCTGTGTTTCAGGAAAGTCAACATTGACTTCTTGCTTCAATATGCCACTATCACAACTGGCCGGTGAAGAACAGGATATCACTAGATTTAAATGAGACCAATTTAATAAAAAAAATATAACTAATAAATCACAAAGCCCATAGGTAGATCATTTAGATTTATGGCTTTAAATCCAGCTCCTGTTATGCAGTGGTCTTCAAATAGATTCTGGTTTGAAACTACCATAACTTATCCTGTGAGAGAAGAGTCTTGATTTTTAATCTTTTCATTCTGCTCGATTCAGAAGTGATCAATTTTCCTGTTAAATTTTATTTGTGGTTTCATTTTATCTATGTTCTTTTACCTGCAAGCACAAAGTGCAGAGCAAATGCCTCCTGATTTTACTGGTACAGAACCATATGAATCTTATGCAGTCATTAAAGACAATATACATAAGATATGAGAAGAATTCCCTAAATATATTTTCTTTTTCCATAGTGCTGGATGTGGAAGAACTGGAGCCATATGTGCAATTGATTATACTTGGAATTTACTAAAAGCTGGGGTGAGTTATTAATTCATGACCAAATGGATGTCCAAATGCATCTCACTAGATTGCTAGCCTAGATATGTGAAAAATTGCTCAGCCTTGTGGAGGATGTAATCCTGTTGCAGTATTTACTGTTCTCCTGGAATAAATATTGATAGCAGCCATTTGAATCTTTTCTGCAAACATTCTTTAAATGTTGACATCTGATCCTCATTGATCATCATGTTAAGTGAAGCAGTGTTATTCATTGGAAAGAGACTGGGCTCCTTTCCTTTGGAGAAATCAAATAACCTGTTCCTTAGAAGACATGTATTGATTTTTTCAAAAGGGGGACTGGTTGTCTTTCTCTGCCCCATCCATCTTGTAGTTTGTGTTTTAAGGCTCAAATAACAGATACAACAACAACAAAGTTTCATTTGTATAGTGCCTTTCACGTCGGGAGGACGTCCCAAGGTGCTGAGCAGTCAGAAAAATATTGGCTTTATATATGGTCCACTTGAACTATATAACGAAGTAAAGCAGGTCAGATGTTTTAAACCTTTTGAGAAAAAAACTGCCTGAATGAATTGGTTGCACGTATGTATGCAACACACACGCCATTGAAGAAATATGAATGGAGTTCCGTTGTCTTGGTTTTATTAAAGGAAACCACACATCTGAAGACTGCAGTTCACTGGGACTTATAGGCACTAATGTTTATCTTCCAGAAAATTCCTGAAGAATTCAGTGTTTACAGTTTGATCCAGGAAATGAGAACACAAAGGCACTCTGCAGTACAGACAAAGGTATGTTCACCCGTGTGGCAGATTTTATTCAGTAAATGATATCTGAAGTTCAGTCTGCACTCGTTATAACATGCCCTAGTGTAACAGTGGTCCATTGATAGCATGGTGACACCCTATTGCAGCTTTTTCTTAGCATTAAAAGTTTTCAACTATTTTTCACCCTTAAGAGTATGTTTTTCACACGTAAGAGTACATGATTTGATGATGTGATTCAGACCAAAAATGCTGCAGTAGAAGCGGTGCAAGTTGATAGCATGAATGTGTAATTTTAAATTGAAGTTTGAAATTGACCAAATCATCTGTCAGATCTAATTTCAGTGTCAAAGTTTTAAATACAAATTTTTTTACCTTCAGGAACAATATGAGCTGGTTCACCGTGCAATAGCTCAACTATTCGAAAAGGAACTACAGAGGTGTCAATGCACTGAAAGTCCCAACACAGTGAGTGATGTTTGTTTTGGATATTTCACTTTGTAGAAAATCATATCAAACGGCACAGTATTCTTTCACTCAAATGCTCCATAGAACTTTTATAAGTAAAGAAAAATCATATTGAAAACTTGTGAATTATATCTTGCATTTGATAACTGGTTTAATATTGTTACGGTTGTAAGAATTGGACATCCTCTTGACGTGAAGGTGCTTTGTAAATTTGCATTGTAATTGTGGTTCTAACAGAGTCTTACGTGTGAAAGTAACTTCTTAGATGATTTAATACTTGTATAAATTACAACTTGTACTTGCATAGCAGATTTTACATGGCTAAAATTTATGACCATCATTATCTAACGTCACTTATATTCCACTCTTTAAATGGTTTCTCATTTCTGGTAGGTAAAATTCATGCAATAGGTTCTGATGCTGCTTTTTTCATTGGAAAAAAATGAATGTGTGGGGCCCGTTTCTGTTTCCTCATTTTCAGTGAAACAGTCTTTTCTAGCATTTGTAAGTTTTGAAATTGTTTTAAAGAAAACAAAGAATAATTAAATATATGATAGAAATAATTCAGTGATACGAAATTCAGCAGTTTTCTCATGTTCCTTTTGGAATAGAAACTTTTCTCCACAAGACATCAGTTGATTGCTCAAACCAGGCAAATTTCTTATTGTACAGGTGAAATAATTGGAGAAATTGCAATGTAAATTGACTATAAGGTGGCAACTTTCCTACGTAAGATTGTCATGAACTGGGGGCAAGCTATAATAATAATAATCCTTGCATTTCATATAGTGCCTTGTCATGTCTTCAAGATGTCTCAAAGCCCTTCACAGAATATACTGCAATATGTAGTGATTATTTTGTGGGTGAAATTGCAGTTAATTGCGCAAGGCAGAGTGCCACACACAGTCGTGGATTGGGTGACCAAATTATTATGTTTTTAAAAAATGTTTCAAGCTATTGCATCAACCTGAACTATGATTTGCTTAACCATATGCACCATTAAATTTGTCACTTTGCAGTGTTGTTGATGTTATTATTGTTCAGAGGTGACGGCTGTATTTTCAAATCTTACATTTATAGACTCTATCGGAACTCGAACAACAAATATTTTCCTCTATCTAATTCCCTGTTAGTGGTTTTTAGAAGAATGTACTTTTAAGTAACAATGCCTACCAAATAATTATTGAAATCCATATTTGCGAGGAGAATGTACATTAATTAAAGGCTGCTGATTACACTCGTTTGAATCCCACAAGCAGACGATAATAATACTCCTTGCATTTGATATAGCGCCTTATCACGTTTTCGAGACGTCTCAAAGCGCTTCACAGAATATACTGTAAAGTGAATTGACTGTATATTTTGTGAATGAAACATGTCAGCCAATTGCGCACAATAGTGTCCCATAACCAGTTGTGGATTGAAGTGACCGGTTTATTATTAATATTTTTGTTTGGAAGGAATTATTACCCTCGGAAAAGCAAACCACCAATCGACTAACCACCAGGTTCCTACGTACTGCTAGGTAAACAGGCACGTGGATTAAGGAAACTTTCCCAACATTTCACTCTGCCAGGAATTGAACCCAGGTCTCTCACTAGCGAGGCGAGTGCTTTAACCACTGAGCTACAGGACTCCACATAATGAATAAGCCGTGTTTGGAAAGGAGCAAATTATTTTGTTTAAGAATGTTTTGGCAGCAGTAACCCAGAGTCTTGGTCTATCTTAGTGGTTTTAAACCTTTTTTTTCCAGGATGAAATTAGTACTGAGAATACTGCCACATCTTCTGTTGCTGAGAAATCTGACATGCCACCGCCCAAGCCACCACGAGTCCGAAGGTAATTTTATTTAATTTGTACCGCAGGTTGCAAAATGGGGTAAAACATTACTGCAAGTGGTTAAGTGACTCTAAACTTGGGTTTTAATGTCAGTAGGTTGTAGTATGAAGGAGTTGCACGGTTTTGAGATACTGAGGGAAATATACAGTTTGAGAATGTACTATTGGCTTTTGATTTTGATGTACTAATGATGCAGACAGGAACATGTTAATAAATAATAATCCTTGCCTCGGTTTAACATCTCATCTGACAATGCAACCCCCCACCCCCCCCACAAGCACTGCATTTGTGTATATAAAGAAGCATTTATATGTATAAAAATAAATATCTGTTGTGCCCTTAATCAGAATAAGCATTCGCAGAGACACCTGTAATGGATGTCTGTATTGACTGCAGTGCTCTGTGTAGTGCAGGTAACATATGCGTTCTAGATAATCCAGGTCAACTGCAAAGAATAAAACTAAAATAGTACAGTGCTCACAGTTTTCTTCTGCAGTCTAAAGTATTGCTCATTCATAGGTACAGGCAGGTAGTGTACAGAAAGGAAAAATTTTATTGGAATGCTTTTTCTTACCATAGATGAAATTTTGTACAACATCACATGCATTTACTGGCAGATCAACTCTTCATTGTCCTTTGCCAGTCACTCTGAACTCTCGAGGCAGACAGTCAGGCTAGTTATTTTACACCCATGAGAAGCTTGTTGTGGCTGTCTGATGAAATTCAGGGTAATCTGTGTGATATGGAAAGGGCGGTACACCTAGCTTCCCAGATGGACAAGCCGTTACATTCTACAGCACCTTTCACTTTGGTAGGACGTCCCAAAGAACTAGGCACTCAGGGATAATCATCTGCAAACCTCCAGGTCAACCATTTGCTGCTGATGTTGTAGTGAGAGTGAGCTTTTTGCACTTGCTCAACAAAGCTTGTTGAGTTAAAGAAAATGCGTTTGATACTAAAAAGTCTAAAGTGAGATTTAAAATGAAATTTTGCCTTGCGTGGTCTACATTGGTAATTTCAATCCACGACTGTTTGTGGGACACTGTTGTTCGCAATTGGCTGCCGCATTTCGCCCACGAATATACAGTCAATTCACTTTAGTCTATTCTGGGAAGCTCTTTGAGACGTCTAGAAGATGTGAAAAGCACTATATCAAATGCAAGGATTATTATTATTATAGCAGCCACGCCTAGTGTACAGGACACCACATTCATTGATAATATGACAACCCAGAAGTCATCCATTTCTTCACTAATAAAGCTCTCTGACATATTGGTACCCTGTGTTATAACATTTTAGTAAATGAAAGTAAAGCAGGAAGTCTACTTGTAACAGGACATGATATGTCAACTTTTACGCTTTCTACATGAACCGATTAATTTTTGAGTTGAAGCCTCACCTTTTGAATAATTAGTCATTTGTGTATTGTACAGCGTGCCGTTTCCTTTGATGCGCAACGGTACTAATTTGTACATACATTTTCCATTGCTGTTTTTGCGGTGTACATGGTCATTCTAATTTGACTACGGTGCGAAACTTACTTATCGTGAGCATCTTGCCACAGTGTCGCAAACATATATTTAGATTTGTATGGTTTAACTACATACAGCAGTGGAAAAATGAATTTTGCTGTTCAGCAGATTTTATTGTTCATTCACTGGATTGGCAGTGAGATGTAGAATTTCATGATGAAAAATACAATTATCTTGTTGCTCCAAACCTTGAGGAGAGTGTCCGAAATTTACTGTTGAAAATCAAAATGTGTTCACTGTTCAAGAAGGTAGGAGAATCAATTCAGTTTTGCAGAGAAAATGAATGATGAAAATAAATGATTCACTTTGTTAGAACACTCATTTCACTTCTTCAACTTTGAGCTTGAATCCATAGAAGGGGCTTCTCTCACTTTGTGTGAGCAGATATTTTAAGTCCTTTGACCAGAGGAGGAAGAAAATGCAGCTCACTTGTTAATTAAATAAGGGTATTTGAAAAGAGAAGTGTAATTTCTCCTGGTGTCATTGGCCCAGATAATAATCCTTAAGAAACCTTGCATTTTACATAATGCCTTATCACATATTCGAGACATCTCAAAGCGCTACACAGAATATACTGATAAGTGAATTGATTGTATATTTTGTGGGTGAAATTGGACATTCATTTCACTGCTGTTTGTGGCATTCTGGCGTGTACAAATTGGTTGCCACATTTGCCTACAATTACATTCTCTATATTTTACAGTAAATCCTGTGAAACGCTTTGAGACGTTTTGACGACATGCTAAGGCACTATCAAATGCAAGGATTACAATATAGTTTACAGAACATTACTTATACATTAAATAACAGTATTGTGGGATATCCAACTAGTGTTTAAGTTACTGGTCATTTCTGGGGTATTGTTGACTTTGTGAACTACTCCTGATTCTCATTGGTTTGAATTTTATACTGTAAATAATTTTCACCAGCAGAGAAAAGTAGCCTAAAATTCAATTTACAAAAGTTTTTTTCTGATATTTAATTTTCTATTTTCTGTGTTACTTTTTTTCCAGGAAGATCTAAACTTCACCACTGTTTGTGGTTTGACAATAAAACAACCTGTAGATTCTGTTTTTTCAAAAGTTGGTGTTATATATTCCTTGTGCCTCGGTCGTGCTAATGTCTTTGTTTCCAATAACATTTCTGTAGCTGCCTGGTGGAAGGGGATGCTAAAGAAGAAATCTTGCAACCTCCAGAACCACAACCAGTCCCACCCATCCTGACTCCTTCACCTCCATCTGCATATCCTGCTGTTACAACTGTCTGGCAGGATAACGATCGATATCATCCCAAACCAGTCGTACACTTGTTTACACAATCACATGCCACAGACCTCAACGAAAACTTCAACAAGCCAGCGGATACCTTCAAACAGGTTGAAAATTGTCCCTCTTCACACACTGAATCCATTGAGAAAAAGCTGGAGAGAAAACTGAGTATTGAAATAAAGAAGATACCACTCCAAGAAGGACCTAAGAGTTTTGAAATGTCACCACCTGGTGGAAACGGTTCTTTTAATAGAACACCCTTAACTAAAGCTAAATCCACTTCAGTGATTGAGATTGAGAAGATCTGTAAATCCGAGGAATTGAACTCTGTGAACTCCCAAGTGGACACTCTGCAGCACTCTTGTGCTACTCAGGAAGTGAAGAGTCAGCTAAATTCTGACGTTCTACAGAGACCAGTGCAACTGCCACTCAAAGAGAGAGCTCAAGCCTCATGGAACATGCAAAGTGTTGAATGTACGCCACCTGCCTTTAGCAAGTCTTCCACTGCTGATAAATTATTCAAAACCGAATGTCAATCTTCTCCTGCACCCGCTCTGACAGCAGAGACGTCCTCAAAAGAGACACCTGTTGTTCCCCCTGTAACCGTGGGTACGAGTGAACCTTGTGCAAATCCACCACCCCTCAGTTTTACTAACCCTCTCCATTCTGACGACTCTGAACCAGAGGAGATGGATGTTGGCACAGCTATACCTAAAAGTATCTCCAGTGTTTTAAGTGCCACTGTTACTTCCACCATGCAAAATGAAACCCCTTCAGTGAGAAAAATATCACCTTTGTCCATTGCTCGAGAACAACCATCCAACACATTGAATTTACGAGCTGACAAACGTAAGTGTACATTTCTTGTTGAGGATATCTATTTGCTGATGTAGAATGGGATGATTATGTGACAGTAGTTGTAGCTAAAAACTTCAAACTGCTTTGGCCCACAGATATGGTTTATTTTTGTAAATGGCTGTGTAAAACTAAGAAAAGCCATATTTTAAATAAAAACACATACACAAACTTAGTTTGTACCAGTTGGAACACACTTGTGGGAGACGAAATAGGTCAGCGAGTATAAAAGTACAATTGTCTGAAATGTTACTTGAGCTACAAATCTATTACCTCACAGTGAATTGTGTGTTTTTTTTAAATGAGTAGCATTCTTTAGTTCTCATCTATTATTGAAGATTATTTTGTAAGTACTGTAGGGGACTGCAGGACTGTGGAGAAATGGATTACTCTGTTGGTTACACTATTAAGCAGAAGATTACATCCAAGAGGTCATGTGTTGATTTCCTTTGGACTGACGGCAGCCAACACAGATCCTGCCTTTTCCTAAAGTCCTATTCCCAGAGGTTCGAGTTCCAAATCCTCATCCTTGCCTTCAAGGCCCTCCTCCTTGGTATTGCTTCTCCCTACATCTGTAACCTGCTAATCCCATACAAGGCCTGTCTGTTCCCTCCACTGAGTGTCCCCCGCCTGGCTGACCCACGTTCAGCAGTTGGGCTTTCTACCCCATCCTTTGGAACTCCATCCCACAGTACCTTTGCCTCGCCCCCTTCTTTGTCTTCTTCAAGGGCTGCCTCAAGATCCTTCTCTTCAACGGCACCTTCGATTACCCTCCTGCCCCCACCTGCCCTGCACCTCTTCTGATCCCAACCCGGAGCTCGGGTCCAAATCCTTGACTGTCCAGCGACTTGGGACATCCTCTCGACGTGAAATGCGCTATACAAATATCATTTGTTGTTGTGGGGTGATATTCTATATGGCCATTCTATTTCTGCTGAGCTGATTAAGCTGCTCAATGAAAAGAAAATTGACTGCCATTACTGTAAGAGTAAGTCACAATTTGCAAGCGTATGTGGAGTTCTACCGCCCCCACACAGGAAATGCATGGCTACATTGCAGCAAGTGATGCAACTCGGGTTTACAGAATTTAACACTTTATTGGTAAAACGGCATTTGTAAGGGGGCATAATCCAGGCCTTTTCAATCCTAAAAAGCAGAACTTAAATTCATTAAACTTGCTCGGACTACAGAGCTGCAAGATGCACGAGTTAGATTGGGAAAGTACTTTGAGAGTAGTAGTCGTAGACAGTAGTATTCTAGAAACCTCTGTTTCTCATCCTCCCTCATGTTTCTCTCAGCCCCGAGGCTCTGGAACTCCATCCCCCAGTGCCTTCGCCGCTTCCTCCATTTCCTCCTTCAAGGCCTGTCTCAAGACCTTTCTCTTTGACCGTGCCTTCAGCTCCCCTCTCGACTCTCTACCCTCTCCTCGCTCCCTCCCTTCCCTCCCCTCACCCTGACCATTTCCCCCCTGCTCGGGTCCTGACCCAACTGTACAGCGCCTTGGGACGTCCTCCCGACGTGAAAGGCGCTCTATAAATGGAATCTTGTTGTTGTTGATGTTTCAGTGAGCAAGTAGTAAACTTCTAAAACAGACTCCCTAGGGAGACGGTGGAAGAAGAAAATGTTGTTTGTTTCAAGAACAAATTGGATAGATTTCTGCTAGATGATAATATCTCAGGATACAGTATATAGTTTGGAACAAAACTTGCCAGGGTGGTGGAAGGTGAAATAGATGGACCTTGGTTTTCTTTCGCCTAGCAAATTCTTATGTTCTTATGTTTGTGCCTGGTTCCCTTCTCAATCCACTCAAACTCGCCCCCCACCCCGTAGTTTTCGACATGGTCATTTTTCCGGTATGAGACTGACTTTTGTGAAGATTGTTGGGAACGAGGAAGAGAAGAAGTGTTAGAGAGGGAGACAATCCTACTTGAGCTCAGTCCTAATCACTTGCAGAGTGTTAGAGCAGGAGTCATTGGTTAATGGCTGGGAAAGGGAGCCAGATTCTTGCTCTCTTGCTTTGCCCTCCCTTAGGTAGACCATGATGTGGAGACAAATTTTAACTTCTCTGGTGCCCTGGTTTCCACTCTAGCCAAGATCATCTCATTCAGAAAAGAGTAGGAATTGTACATGGGAGCCTTTGTTTCACATAAGACTGTAGCTTTACCAATTCCATCGAGAATATGGTGTGCATCTCTCATATATTCACATTTTTTAAAAAGTAAATAGAAACAATATTAAACCCATGAAAGCCCTCTCAAATGAACCGGGACTACTGATAAAGAAGAGCAGGAGAAGGGGAAAGGACCACATAGTGTTCAAGAGGAATGGGAATACTGGAGACATAATGGGTCATAATCAAAGCATAAGTCGAGCCTCCTGGTGACCGTTCAATTGCTGTAAAGTTCAGAGTTGTGTGGGAATGAGGAAAGTTGGCTTTGTTTTTTTAAACAAGTCATCTGGTGTCTGTTAACCTCTTCGAGTTCCAAAGTCCTTCAAGGAGAACAAGAAAACTGAGAGGAGGGGGAGAGAGCAAGCAACGGGCTTTGAAACACTGGTTGTATTGAGCAATTGTCACAGTGCAAGCCAAACTGCACAAAATAGATTTCACATTACTTAACTTGTGCTTTAGTAGTGTTGTGTTCCTGAGTTCACTGTGCTTTCTTTTCAGTCCACGAGTCTCAGGTTTAAATAAATGGCTGCCAAAGCCAGCAATGCGTTTAGAGGCACTGGACCAAATCTCTGAATTTGTGTGCTATTGCTGTCTGCCAAAGTTTCCAATGTAGTTCAGCTGTGAGAGAATTATTGCTCTTTTGAAGGATACACCAGGGAGAGAAGGGATATTTATACCAAGGGTTGCATTGTTCAGTGCATGAGCTGTAATTTTCACCATACAATTTTTGTTCCTTTTATGGTGTTCACCTCTTTAACAGCTGTCTGCCCTTCACACACACGCTAAGGATATTGTGCTCTAAACAAATGGTGCCCAAGCAACCACAAGTCACCAACCAATGATCAGGAGACAAAAATAAAATAGTCCCTACTGTCATAATCCTGATAACAAAATGTGATTTTGTTTTTACTCTTGAGATGACGTCACAACATGCAGTGGTGACCTTGAACCCATTGCAAGTCTGCCTCGCATTTTATTCCTAGTTTTAACGTATTTGAATATTTAATTTGTATTTAATTGAGTCAGAAGGCTGTGGGTTCAAATCCCACGTTAGGGCTTGAACTCATAGTCGAAGCTAACCCTCCAGTGCAGTGCTGGGGGTGTGTTGCATTGTCGGTGATGCCATCATTCGGATGAGATGTTAAACTGAAGTCTGTCTGTTCATGTGGACATTAAAGATCCCATAGCACTTCTTTTCCTTATTTACATGCGCCCTCTTGGTGATGTCATCTGCAGACACGGGGTCAACTTCCACATGGATGCAGGTGACATCGAAATCTACTTCTCTTCCAGGTCTGCTGATGTTCTGTCAGCTGCTTGACAGACATCAAGGCCTGGTTGAGTGCAAACTTCCTGCAGTTAAATGTTGACAAGCCGGAAGTTATACTCCCATTAACGTTTTATGTCCTGCGCTCTGACCTCCTCAACCTCTCCAGCCTATTCCTAAAACTAATAATCCTTGCATTTGGTACAGGGCCTTCTCACGTCTTTGAGACGTCTCAAAGCGCTTGACAGAATATACTGTAAAGTTAATTGTTTATTTTGTGAGCGACACGTAGCATCCAATTGCATACAGCAGTGTCCCACAAACAATCATTGACCAAATAGTTTTTTTGTAAGGGATTAATACTCCCGGAAAGAGATCTGCTCATCAACTAATAATTTGGTTCCTTATTGCTAGGTATAAACAGGTGTGTAGAGTAAGGAAACTTGCCTAAGATTTTGCCCTGCCCAGGAATCAAACCCAGGTCCTCTCACTTGCGAGGCGAGTGCTCTAACTAATATGCTACAGGAATCCTCGAGTCTCACCGAACCAATAGTTAGTCATGCGTTAATGGATTAACACTGTCCTCCAATACTTTTTTATAAAAAAAATCCAGGGATTTTTACATTGTGTTTGTAAGCTTCTCATACTGCAATAGTTATGTGGAAATGCAGGATCAAACACTTCTGGACTTAATTGCAGAGTGTAGATAACCTTTCATGTTATAGCCCTCGCAGTGGTCTACTTGCTGTGCAAGGTTTTTTTTTATCTTAGTCAGTGTTAATTTGAACTCTGCATTGATGGTAAGAAGAGCTGGACTCTGCATTTACTTGTACCATAATCCCTTAAAAATAATAATAATAATTTGATCACTCAATCCGCAAGCGTTTGTGGGACACTGCTGTGCACAATTGGCTGCCATGTTTCACCCACAAATTACAGTCAATTCACATTACAGTATATTCTGTGAAGCGCTTTGAGACGTCTCGAAGACGTGATAAGGGGCTATGTCAAATGCAAGGATTATTATTTTTATTATGTATCATTATTCTACTCTTGAGAATAGGTACAGGAACAGCAGGATGATGCCTTTTCACACATGGTGCAACTGTTCGCAACTATTTTAACCCTTAAACTGCAGGCATGTCTGAGGAGAAACACCTATCAGTGACACTTGATTACGTTAACAAAGCAAATTGAGATACAGATGAGTGAACAAATTAGCTTATTTGTGCGGCTAAAAGGGTTACATTTTAACTTGTAAAAGGTGGGTTCAAATTTAATTTTCCTTCCACATAACTGATGTGTTACAGTACCAATGAACACTTTATATTGAAAAAAAGCCTAGGGGAAGGACATACCAGTTGAATTATTTCCCAACCCCTAACTACAGAAGAATATGTGATATTAATATCTTACATAAATATCTTTAGTTTTTGGATCCTGCAGAATTTCCTTCCTCTTTCTCTTGATTATTTTGCTGCTGGAGGAGATACAACTTGCCCTGATTAGTTTAATTTACTTTAACAAGGGTGGCAGCTTTGGTCTGCACTTGTAAGAAGTGTTGGAACTACCAGCATTTGAACAAGTCTTTTGACTGAAAAGCACTTCTCTTCATGTTTCTTCTCCTTTAAAATAACTTGGAGGCAGAGGTTCATGAGTAAACCTGCAAACAATACATTTATGTTAACTATCAGTATGTGCTTACGTGACAAGTTCTATATTTAAAGCCATTTTGTATCATCTGCTTTGCTTGTTAAACAATCATGAATAAGAGAAAATTCCCTGCAATGTTTCACATTGCTTGTAAATTCTTAGGTTTCTATTTTTGTACTTAGCCATTTAATGGGTCCCATCGTGTATTGTATTTTTTGAGGGAAAGATTTGAATAAACCATAAATAGCTTCTACAATTATATTCATAACTAGAATAGGAGCTTAGAGTATACAGTGATCAGACAGACTCAGTCATCCCACTAGGCAGATTTTTAAAATTGATATTTAAAGATTCTTATTTCATTAATTAAACTTATGAAGCAAACTCTTTTATTAATGGAGGATTTTTTCTTTGCTTGCTTACAAAGGAAGTACCTATACAAAAGTTAAAGAGGAGTTTAAGTCTAGAGAATGGGAGTGCTTTTGTTCAAAGTACTGCCCCTTTAAATGAAGCAAAATATTGTAAGTTTAATCAGATTTATTTTTTTAGGAACAACGCAACTATTTATCAGGACTGAGATCTTTGATTGGCTACTTAGCCAACGTTAGGTTGATTTCATTGCCCCCCCCCCCCCCCCCACTCCATCTCCATTTCATCTGGCCCACCTTCTCCCTCCATAACCTGTAAATATAATGTTTCTGGAAGAGAAACACAAAAATATGCTGACGTTTCTCAAATGGGGCATCTGGCCCTCAGCTGCCTAAAGGTTGACCTACATCATGGTCCAGAAACATCTCTGTGCATCTTAGAGCAGCTCTGAACAAATGATAGGATCAACCGCTTCAAACACCACAAATCCATTGCCAGGAAACCTCAACTATAGGCTGAGGATTGACTTTCAGATCAGTTTGAAATGGGAGCTTTTTTTCCTACAGAGTTGTCCTCACGCCTGCTCTCCCAGTTGGTGGTGAAGCCAAGAATCGAATAACTTGGCTACCTTCACCGACACTCCAGCATAATGAGTGGTGTCTCCAGTTCTCCATCAAAATGTGTCCCAGAATGTTGGAAGGGTTGGAAGGCATAGTTTTGCTATTTGTTTTATCCACCCTGGACACTGATGTACGATGCCTGACTTGAATCAGTCACGATGGAATGCTCATGATCACGTGCTTTTCCTGTCCAAGAAAATGTTTGCTCTTTATTGAAAGAATCCATTGTTTCAGGGATAGATTCAACCCAAATAAGATGAGCTGACATTGGGGGAAATCATCTTTGCTATTTGACCCCTAAGAGGTTGTAAGACTGTTGTAAATTTAACCTCCTAGCTTAATTGTTATTCAGTATGCATCGTTGAACATGCAATCTGACTGGATTCGCAAATGATAATAATAATCCTTGCATTTCATATAGTGCCTTTGGCGGGAGAGCCTTCAGCCACTCTACCCCCAAACTCTGGAATTCCATCTCCCAATCACTCCGCCTCAACCCCTCCTTAGCCTCCTTCAAGTCCCACCTCAAAACCTTCCTCTTTGACCATGCCATTGGTCACTCCCCTTCCCCTCCCTTCTCCTGCCCTGACCCCAGCTTGGGTCTGAATGCTGCACACTGTCCAGAGCCTACTAAGGGCATTCAATTGAGATAAGATAGTCTGAACCCGATTCATGACAGTTGCTTTTAAAGAGTGTCTCTGTGTTAGGTACTGAACAGTATACGAAACATAATAAGAGGATTTATTTTATTAAAATATAGTTCTGGCCGTGTTTGAGAGAGTGGGCATTTAAATGGCAAAATCATTTCAATGCAGAAACGTGTGAGGTGGTACATTTTGGTAGAAGGAATAAGGAAGTCACATACATCCTGGAAAGTAAAAACCTAAATGGAGTAGAGAAGCAAAGGGACCTAGGGGTACACATACACAATTCACTAAAAGTAGCAACCCGGGTTAATAAGGCCATAAAAAAGCAAACCAGACATTGGGGTTAATTTCTAGAGGAATAGAAATGAGAAGCAGGGAAGTCATGGTAAACTGCTATAGAACCGTGGTTAGACCACACTGAGAATACTGTGTGCAGTTCTTGTCCCTACGTTATAGAAGGGATGTGGAGGCACTGGAAAGGGTGCAAAGGAGATTCACAAGAATGATCCCAGACCTGAGAGGTTATACCTATCAGGAAAGGCTGAACATACTTGGACTCTTCTTTTGAAAAGAGGAGGGTAAGGGGTGACCTGATAGAGGTCTTTAAAATGATGAAAGGTTTTGATAGGGTTGACATAGGGAGTTTTAACTGCAGGTTATAATTTTGTATTATCAAATACCAACAACAAGAAGTTACAAACAGATACTTTTTTTTAATAAATTGATATTCTGACATTAGTAAACATTGATTTGGTAATTTAAAACACTTATAATAATAATCCTTGCATTTGATAAAACAGGGCGAAACCTTAGGCAAGTTTCCTTACTCCACACGCCTCTCGTTAGTTGATTGGCAGATTGCTTTTCTGGGGCTAATAATTACTTTTAAAAAAAGAAATTTGGTCGCTCAATCCACGACTGTTTGTAGGACACTGTTGTGTGCAGTTGGCTGCCATGTTTTGCCCATAAAATATACAATCAATTCACTTTACAGTATATTCTGTGAAGTGCTTTGAGACGTCTCAATGATAAGGCGCTATATCAAAAGCAAGCATTATTATTATTTCTGATTATCAATTGGAAACAGTAAAGAATTCCATACCCCAAATTAGTTTGTCAAAAGCTCAATAGCTCGAAGGTTTCAGGAAGGGAATAAATGTGAAAATAATTATTAAAAAAAAGTTTCTTTTTTTTAAGATTCTGGGGATAAAGAAGATAATCCACCACCTTTGCCAGAAAGAACTCCTGAATCTTTTGTTGTGGCAAGCGAACCTGGTAAGATCTCACTTTCATTCATTATATTACTTAATGATAATAAATAATAAACCTTGCATTTGATATAGCACACACCTTATCACACGTTCGAGACATCTTAAAGAGCTTCACAGAATATACTGTAAAGTGAATTGACAATATTTTGTGGGTGAAACGTGACAGCCAATTGCGCACAGCAGTGTCCCACAAACAGTCGTGGATTGAGTGACCAAATTATTATTTTTATTTTTTTGATGAAGGGATTATCATCCCCGGAAAAGTGATCCAACAATCGACTAACAACCGGGTTCCTACTTACTGCTAGGTAAACAGAGATGTGTGGAGTAAGGAAACTTGCCCAACATTTCGCCCTACCTAGGAATCGAACCCAGGTCCCCTCGCTTGTGAGGCGAGTGCTCTAACCACTAAGCTACAGGATCCATGCTACTTACCAAGCTTCGCATTCCCCTCAAGTGTTTCTATAAATGGGAGTCTTATTTTTGTAAAACAATCGGCCACAGAAAAGTTCCCAGAACCCACACTGTGGTTATTTAAAAATGTTTTCATTCAACATTTTTTTTGTGGAGTCCTGTAGCTCAGTGGTTAGAGCACTCGCTTTGCAAGTGAGAGACCTGAGTTCAATTCCAGACAGGGCGAAACCTTGGGCAAGTTTCCTTACTCCACACAGAGCCTAATAATAATCCCTCCAAAAAACAATAATAAAAATTGGTCATTTTCAATCTATGACTGTTTGTGGGACATTGCTGTGCGCAGGTGGCTGCCGCATTCGCCCACAAATATACAGTCAATTCACTTTACAGTGTGTTCTGTGAAGCGCTTTGGGACGTCCTCCCGACGTGAAAGCGCTATATCAAATGCAAGGATTATTATTATTATAAGTTTGAATTATTTTCCCTGATATTTGGAGGACAGTTTCAGGTCATTTCACAATTGCAGGACAATTTTGTTCCCAGGCAGTGAACTGGATTTGTAAAGTCAGACCCCACACTTGTTAAAACAAAGCACAAAAAATGGCAAACTTGCAGTTGGCAGTACACAGGAAATGGCATTAGTCATGCTTCCAGTACACAGGAAATGATGCCAGCATGACCTGATGACTCTAAAGGTGGCCATTTTTTAGTGCAGGAAGCTGGTTAATCAACAATTAAATCAGATATATTGTGCTTCCTGTATAGTGCATGACTACAGTACACCCACACTTGTAAGCAGACCTGTGCTAAATGAGGCTGTGTTAACAGGGTTTCACAATGTTTGTTTGACTCGCACTGCAGAACCTTACTACATTGTCACTTGTAATGTCTGCCTGAATACAAAGTTTTTTAAAAAAACAATTTGCACTTTAGCACCTTTAATGTCGGAGAACCTCAAAGTGCTTTTACAAGTCTTGAGTGGAAACGAGAGCTAAGAGAGAGAGGTAGGGGGCCAGGAAGAACAATTTTAGAAGATTGGGGGTCAAGGTGGCTGAATATTTACTTGTCAATGATGGAGCAGAGTGGATGGAGGAGGTCAGAGCTGACTGAGAGGGTAGGTGGGGACCAGGATAGCAGGCAATTGTGGATGTAATGAGAGTGGGACAATGCCATTGATTCATTTGAAAGTAACAATGACGATCTTCAAGTTGATCCTCTGGGGATGTGGAGCTAGGTAAGGATGGGGGGAGGGAGGTGATGGGCTGTGCAGGAGAGAAAGCGAGCTGTAGAGTATATAATATGGAGATTGTAGAGGGCAGAGCTGAGGAGGCTGTGAGGTAGAGATCTGTGACATTGCTGATGGAAGAAAGCAGACTTAGTCAATGCCTGGGTGAAAGGTTTGAAGGAGTTGAGGGTTAAACAAAATGCCATCATTCCATACTAACTAGTTTCCACCTAAATCAATTGAAATCGCTCCGTGACCCTATCAACCCCATACTCACCCGACTCCACCGGCTTCCCATCACACAGAGGATACAGTTCAAGAACCTGGTCCTCACCTTCAAAGCCCTCCATGGTCTTGCTCCCCCCTACCTCTGCGACCTCCTAACCCCCTACTAACCTGCTCGCTCCCTCCGCTCAGCGGGCTCAGGCCTGCTTCATGTCCCCTACCTCGCCCGCCCTACCATTGGCGGGGGGCCTTCTGCCACTCTGCCCCCACCCTCTGGAACTCCATCCCGCAGTCACTCTGTCTCGCCCTCGCCTCTCTCAAAACCCTCCTCTTCAACCGTGTTTTTCGATCACCCTCCTTTCACCCCACCTGTCCTCCACCTTCCCCGATCCCGACCCCCAGCTCGGGTCCGAAACACTGACTGTCTAGCTAGCGCCTTGGGACGTCCTCCCGATGTGAAAGGCGCTTTACAAATGTAATTTTCTTGTAGCACAGTTGTAATTTGGGATTGGTGGTTTATTGAAAATAAACCTTTTGTGTTGGGGTGAACCTTGATTCGTACTGCTTAGTGGTGAACTTTGTATTGCTTCCAAGTGCTGCAAATGGAGAAGAGAATTGTGATCTTGCTGTTTAACAGTTTTGGTGGTGTTAGTGGCTTAAATTGTTTTGGCAGAAAGTGAAATATAAATGTTGTGCATGTAATAATTATTTATTTTTTAAACTAGGCAGAGTTTAAGATCTCCAACCCCCAGATGTTTTAACATGTTTTTAGGTCCAAGTAAAACTCAAGAGGCAGTGAAGAGCAACAAAGCCAACTCCCCATGTTAGAGGAATGAATTGTGAGGAACGGCTGGATAAGTTAATGCTCTTCGGCCTTGAAAGAAGACTTTCTCAGGAAGCTACCTTTACAACATGCCCAATGGGTAGAGAAAGTATATGCAGAGAAATACTTGCACATCATTCAAGGAGGCAGCAGGTCAAGGGTTTAGGGTTGTGAAGAACAATTTTAGGCAGACACAGTTGCTTAATGTTAAGACATGTAAATTTATCACTAACCTGTTCCCATCTGTGCAGGGGTATTGCACAGTAAGCGATTCCATTTTTATACCACCTTATTATATTTACCTAGAGGGTAGTAAACAGCTGGAATGAGATAATAATAATAATAATCCTTGCATTTGATATAGCGCTTTTCATGTCGGGAGGACATCCCAACGCGCTTCACAGAACACACTGTAAAGTGAATTGACTGTATATTTGTGGGCGAACGCGGCAGCCAATTGCGCACAGCAATGTCCACAAACAGTCGTAGATTGAAAATGACCAATTTTTATTATTGATTTTGGGTTTGGAGGGATTATTATTAGGCTCTGTGTGGAGTAAGGAAACTTGCCCAAGGTTTCGCCCTCTGCCTGGAATTGAACTCAGGTCTCTCGCTTGCAAAGCGAGTGCTCTAACCAGGAGATTGCAGGGGATTGCTCTCATTCAAGAACTGTTTGATAGTGTAAGGGAGAGATTGGAAGGCAGAAGGTTGGTATTCTGGAAAGACTAGCTTAAATGGCCCTTTTCTTCCAAACCTGCCTTCTGAAGATGTTTAGAGATGGAAAAAATTCTAGTCTACTGTCCAGAACCTGTACAAAATTGAAAGCTCGGCTGTCCAGCAAATGCGAGAGCATCTGATTCTTGCCATCAGGTAACACTGACGAATTTGTAAACTGATATAAGTTGTGCTTTTGTTCCATTTGGCTTTGAGTGGAGCTGCACAGCGGACCTCGGTGTTCGGTGCTGCACAGTGTCACCTTGTGGTGACAATCTAGTACTGAAACGCATTTGTAATGCGTTTGGTCTACTGGCACCTATTGGCAATAATGTGGCATTGATCAGTCATTCAAAATATACTTCCATTTGATGCAATACGATATTAAAATGTCTCCATGGCCCACAGCACAGTACATCACACAGTGAATTAGAAAGAAGGAAAACTTGAACTTATTTAAATGCTATACCACATTGCAATATCGCAAAAGTGCCTTACAGTAATTACTGTTAACTGTGAGGATATTTGTGTAGGTAATGTAACAGTCATTTTGTAAACAGCCATGAGGAGAACAACCAATTTATCTGGAGGACTGTTTGCCCAAGTCAATAAGAACAACTCCCTTCTCTTTACTAATAATGCATGGGATCAATAATGTCCACCCCAAGAACAAGCGGACAGGTTATGAATTTAACATCCCATCTGAAAGATGGCACTTTGCCATTGCAACAGACATTCAGCTGTCAACATTGGAGTGTAAACACAGACTGAACTCTGATCCTGATGTGGGACTTACACTTGACCTTTGACTCAGCAGGAAGAGTTAACTATAGTGACTATTATGTAGGCAAACATGGACTCTGAAGTGTGGCAGTATTGTCTCTAAAACAGTGTGAAATAAGTTTTTTTTAAAAAAAAAAGAACAAGGGAAGAGTTGGGAAGCCCGACAAGCAGGGAGTTGGGTAGTGGAGCCTAAATGTAATAAATACGTTCCAAGGATATCAGCCACGGAAACTCCCTACTAGCAGAAACAGTTGATATTTTGTTAAACAGTTCAGCAGTTCGAAAGCCCAAACTGAGCCAGTTTTCACCATTGTGCCCCTGTTTGTATTGATTGTTTTTAATCCAATTAAATCTTGTGCAGCATAGAGTTATTTTTGGAATATTAATCAGTGAATGAATGATGCACAAGTAAAATATTTTAGGAATTTGATGGGAACTATGTGATTGGTGTTGCTTTGTTAACACACATAAATTTGTCACTCGCCAACTATGTCCTGTCTCCACCTGTGCAGTGCTATTGCATAATAAGAGATTCATTTATTTAGCACCTTATTGCGTTGAAACATCTCAAGACTGTTCATAAGTACTTGATGTTAAGTGTAGTGCCTGTTTTTCTAGGCAAATGTGGCAGAAGTTTGCTCCAACAAAGCTGTATTGATGAGAGACCAATTAATCTGAAGGATTTTTGGCCAGGACACCTGGAGAAACTCCCTTGTCTCAAATTGTGTCAAGTTTGAACACTGTTTTATTTATAATGGACTTCATATTCGCTCCACGTATCTATTTTCTCATCATTTGAATCAGCTTGTTTTGGCAGCAAGACATGTCCTGTCAGATGCTGATGGCTATGCTCTGTGTGATATTTTACACCGAGGGATTAATGATTGTGCTGTGATCATGGTCGGCAGATTGCAATGGTCACTTGATACCAGCGAGTGATGGTCATTGTATATTACATAAAGATTCTGTTCGCCACTATTTGTAGCGCAAATTATTGGAACACTCCTGCTAATCCCTTATCAACCTGTCCTCTCCCTCCGCTCAGCCTGCTCCACGCCCCCTGCCCGCCCCGCCATCAGTGATCGGGCCTTCAGCCTCTCTGCCCCACCCTTTGGAACTCCCATCACACATTCCCTTTGCCTCTTTCCCTTCTTTGCCTCCTTTGAGGCACGTCTCAAGACCCTCCTTTTTGACTGTGCCTTCGACCATCTTCCTACCCTCACTGTCCTCCACCCCCCCGCTTCAGGTCCAAATCTCTGACTGTCCAGCACCTTGGGCGTCCTTCGGACATGAAAGGTGCTGTACACATGTAAATTTGTATTGTAATTAATTTTGTTACTAATTATAATTTTAAAAATGTAAAATTTCATCAAACATTAATCATAACCTTGTTTTGAAAATGTCCATAGACTCCTCTGCTAACCCAGTTAATGCCAGGAGATCTGCAGAATGGAGTGGGTTCCAGCAAACGCAATCTGTTGAGCATCCAAAGATGGTGAGGAGCAAGGTAATGTTATCACGCATCAGTGCCATGCCATACATAGATGATTCGAATGCAGTATTTATTTATAGTTCACGTGTTAGATCATTTTAAATGTTAACGTTCATGTTTCCGTTTTAACAGAGTCTGAAAAATCCCAGAATTCAAAGAAATGGTGAGTATGTTTGTTCTTAAATTACTGTATTGCGATGTTTCTCCTTGAGGTCAGATTTTTCATTCACAGGCACTTGGGGAATGAATCTGCATCTATACAGCAAGTCAAACATTGCCAGTGCTGCTATGGTTCCAGCTGAAAGGGGGGAAAAAAGTGTTTCATTTACATGTTCTTACTTAGGTCTTGTTGCTAGATTTCATTTGAAATTTTGCTGATAAATGTACTGGTTTAAACTGTTAAGACATTTGATTTAAGCAGCTTCAGCTGCTCAATCCCTTGTTATGATTCTGGTGCACTCCTGTATGGCAGAGAGGAAATATCAACTTACAAAGAGTTTCAGGGCTTACAAAAGAATGTTCATGTAATCCAAACAGCCCTGAGATTTAGTTCTTACAATTATTTTGAAAATAGATTTCAGTTGACGCCTTTAATATCTTAAGTGTACTTATTGCCGAGCTGTCTGTCTGTTCCGATGCCTGCACATTCCGATAGGAACACCTGGACATCAAATGGCTGAAGGTTTTGTCCAGCTGTTTTCCTTGAGATTAAACCCATAAAACTGCTGACTGGATAACTAAGCTTTACAAATCATCTGAAAATAAATGGGACGTGATTCCTGCATCCAGTTTTCACCCATGTGAGATGGAACAATCAGCAGCTTTTTAAATTCCACATTGTGTAAATATGACCTTTCAAAGCCAAGGCTATTGCAGTGATCGTGGGGATTTGAAAATGGAGGGACATGAATCCTGATCCTGGATTGAACTATTTTCTAACACTGATCTGAAATGATTGTTCTGGAAGGTTATTGCTCTTGGTGCATTCTGGAGAGGTCATTGCTCTGTACAGTTTGGATGTTGTCACCTGGCTTCTGGTTGGATTGGCTCTTCTTTCGTTAATAATTTCAAATGTTGACTTTCATCTGGTTCAGGATGTTAATGAAGTTGCTGTTCCGCTCCTCTGTCTCTCCAGTTTGAGAAGAATGTACATTCTAAACTTCCTCTGACTACATACTCATTACCTGTATTGCTGGATTAACAAAGGCCAACTCTATGCAATTTACAAGATGTGAAACACAACACTTTATTTTGGATCCTGCTAAGTGCTGTGGTTGAGGTTGAGTCCACGTTAGCATTCAAGAGGAAACCAGATGGATATCTAGAAAGAAATAATTTGCAGGGCAGTGGGGGGTGGGGGAAGGCAGGTAAATGGATTGCTCTTTCAGAAGCCAACACAAACACGATGGGCTGAAAAAGCCTTCTGTGCTGTAAATTTCTCTGGCCAGCAGAAATAGGTTGAGAGTTATTGACCTGAATAAAATAATACCCGAGGTCTCTGGAAGTGTCAATCTTTATTTTGGTGTCTTCCATTATTGCCTTGAGATATTATTACAACTCCACCTCGCTAAGCCAGTCCGGAACCTTGGGGTCTTGTTTGACCCTCAACTATCCCTTTCTACCCCACATCTGCGCCATGACCCGTTCTGCCTTCCTTGACCTCCACAATGTCGCCCGGCTCCGCCACTGTCTCACACCGCAGGCCGCCGAAACCCTATTACACGTTTCATTACATCGAGGCTCGACTATGCAAACTCATTGCTTGTCGGCCTCCCCAACCCCTCCCTCCATAGGCCGCAGATCATCCAGAACCCTGCAGCCCATGTCCTCTCCTTCACTAGGCTCCATGACCCTATCACCCCCATCCTTGCCGACTCCACTGACTTCCCATCACACAGAGGATACAGTTCAATAATAATAATAATAATCCTTGCATTTGATATAGCGCTTTTCACGTCGGGAGGACGTCCCAAAGCGCTTCACAGAACACACTGTAAAGTGAATTGACTGTATATTTGTGGGCGAACGCGGCAGCCAATTGCGCACAGCAATGTCCCACAAACAGTCGTAGATTGAAAATGACCAATTTATTATTGTTTTTTTTTGGTTTTGGAGGGATTATTATTAGGCTCTGTGTGGAGTAAGGAAACTTGCCCAAGGTTTCGCCCTCTGCCTGGAATTGAACTCAGGTCTCTCACTTGCAAAGCGAGTGCTCTAACCACTGAGCTACAGGACTCCACAAAGATCCTTGTCCTCACCTTCAAAGCCCTCCATGGTCTTGCTTCCCCCTACCTCTCCGACCTCCTAACTTCCTTCCACCCTGTTCCTCCGCTCAGCGGGCTCCGGCCTGCTTCACATCCCCCACCTCGCTCGCCCCACTATTGGCAGGCGGGCCTTCTGCCACTCTGCCCCCTCCCTCTGGAACTCTATCCCACAGTCCCTCCACCTCGCCCCTCCCTTGCCACCCTCAAGACCCGTCTCAAGACCCTCCTTTTCGACCGTGCTTTCGATCTCGCTGCTTTCCCCCCCACTGGCCTCCACCCTCCCTGACCCCCAGCTTGGGTATGTAACTCTGTCTGTCCAGTGCCTTGGGACGTCCTCCTGACATGAAGGGGGCTCTTTACAAATGTAATTTTGTTGTTGTTGAGATGCAGTAAAAGTTCTCTGGAGATAGTACTTTGTGCCTTTAGAGGCTGCAGCGCTGCATCCTTTGTCTTGTGGTGTTGCCTACTGTCGGTGCTGGCTGCGATTAAATGCAGCAAAAGAGGAGCTGAGGAATGCAATGTATTTTCCTCTCAAACTAAGCAGTAAAAACAGTTCAATAACATCCCGAAATTGAAGGAACTCAACATTTCACTATTTTCAGAGAACAGTAAAGAACCAACACAATGGAGAATGGGATTGCAATCAACACCTTACATTTGTATAGCCCCCTTCACCGGGGCAGTGTCTCGGAGCACTTGAATCAAGATCAATCCAAATATACACCCATTTGGAAAATTTGCAGCTCTGTTTGTAGTGCAGTTAATTGTAGATTTTTAGCCATGTACAATTTAATTGCGAACACGTCAGAGAGGTGTTTGTCCAGTTTTTTTTTAACTCAATTGCAAGTAGTTGTTTGTGCGTGAGACTTGATTCATTGTGAGTAAATTTCCTTTCAGAATACCCTGAGGCGGGTGATGGTGGGAGATCATCGGGTTGTACAGGAATGAAAGCTACCACAAGGCCGGAGATGGGACAGTCCGCAGAAACAAATTCGAAAAGTAGATCACGCGGTTCAGATTTAGGTGAGCGCACATCATTAATTGAAATAGGCAGTGGCACTGCAATACTTTCTATGCTTTGTGTAGCGCTCCGGGACGATAGCTCACGTGAAGGGCGCTTTATAAATAGAAAGTTGTCATTGTGTTTAATCCTCTGAGAGAAGGCCTAAAGGGTATTTATTGAGAAACGTCAGCGAAGCGCTGAAGTCTGTGGTGTTTCCCCACCCTGAGCTGATATGTGTTAATAACTTAATTCTGTCCCACAACAAAATTATTGATTGTACAAAGATTTTATTAAACATTCTCAGCTAAGCTACCATTCTGTACTCAGGGCTGCCACCAGCATTACTCTATAGCTGACCATTGGGAGACGCAAAACTAACTGTGCCTTTGGAGAAACAAGACATCCATACCATATGTTTCCAACTTTCCCCTTGGTGGTGATGGTTGGGGTGCGAGGATCATCTGTTTTTTGCCTCCTGGACAGCCCAGCTGAGATGCAGCTGTCATGTGAATTACCATTCCCTGGTATGGTATGGTTTGAACATACTGTGACATCTTGCCACTACACAGTATTGTTAATCAAACTATTTTATACCTTCCTTGTCCATTAACACACTCCATGCAAATTTAGTTCACTTTTTCAAATTGACTGGAACATGAAGATGGTTTGGTTGGGTGGGTGATGAAATGTCACATTAGTGAAGTAGAAGATGTGTTTTTAAAGGAATTGTGTTGTTTATTTGAACAGTGTAGGAGTTTTAATCTGCCTCTAATTCACAGTTATTGTGTTGCATGGTACTTGATGCGGCGTTAGAAAAGGCAAATCAGTTCCATGACCAGCATTAACATCTTTCGCGTTATTAGAGTTGATGCTAATAATTTTTAACCAGTTTACTTTTGTACAATTCTGTTGATGAGGTACCCTCTCAAAGAAAGTACCCGATTGTTTTTCTATAATCTGGAGAGTCCCTTTAAGACAATCTGCACACAAAATACCTAGTGAGAAATTCTTGTGAATAAAGGATCGTTGGTGTTCGATGTCTATTCTGCTTGGCTACTTTGATGAGAGATCTCAGCGGTGGGGGGAGAGAGGAGACATTGAGTATTTCCACTACCCTGTGTGAATATTTGCACTACCCAATCCCAATCACGGGCAAAGAATTCTGGCTGTGTATGCCAAAACATCCAGCTCTTTCTTTGAGTTGTTCATTTCCTGTACTGTCTAAAGGTTTCCTTTGCCATTAAGGACTTGAGGAACTCTGGGGTGAATGGTACTCATTCAGTAACAAGTCACCAGACTAGTAAGGAGTAAGAAACCTGTAAACATGGCATTTTCATGTTGTAAGTATTTTTTGGTTCTGTTTGGGAAAATACTGTAAAGGAAAATGTTTCTGGAATTTTCTTTTCCATTAATAGAATTCGAGAAATTTCTCTTGCCTCTTAAGTCTTGCAATCAGTAGGCACTCCATTGGGTTTTACCACATTAAGCAAAAGTTTTCAAAGTTGCTGCGCCGATGCAATATGCAGTGTTACTGGTTGAGTCGTGGCCAAGTAACAGATTCAGACTGTAGGGTCAGATGTTTAGAGCTTGGTCCCAGCTAGGACAGAGTGGAGAACTGCAAGCAATTGTATATCTAAAGGGTGACCAAGAAGTCGTGATTCCATTGCAATATCTAATAAGTCGTAAAGAAATGTTTTTTTTAGATAATAGTTTGAAAAATAAGACTTTTTGATCACCCCGTACTATCAATGTGCTCATTTACCACTGTAATGTGAACTTCATTCCTGGATCATTTTAAAACTTCCTCCAAACTAATTTTGCTGTAAGCCTGGCTTGTGGTGGCTCTGCAATGAAATATTGTTGTGCAAGAACCGACATGCATGAAAACACCAAGCCAGAAAGGAACTAGCCTTTCGCAAATTAACGGATATGGTGGGAAGAGTGATTGCTCATTTTCTGTTTCTCGTCTTACTGTCACAATCACAACCTAAATCTGACAATAAATAGTATCATCAATGTGATTTTTGAGAATTGCACCTGAATTTTCAATGCTACGACATATTCGTATGAATTCAGGAAATCAAAAGTTCAAAAAGACTTTATTTACTTCCACGGGGCAAAACAAGGCACACGTCAGATTCATGTGAGACTCTCAAGACCCTCCTCTTAGACCGTGCCTTTGCAATGAGGCGCTATATCAAATGCAAGGACTGTTATTAGCCAGAAAACGACTCAAGTGAGAAGGAAAGGTCAAGAGCCCTGATACGGGTGATTTTTCATGTGCGAGTCTATTCATTGAGTTCAAAGTATTCGAGTGTGGGGGAGCATCACAGCTGAGCTCAATCCTACATACATTCATTGAATTTATTGCCACTTTTTCCCCTCTCCCAACATAGGAATTGTGAAACCGTTTGAAGAAACTTTACTGGTAGCCCGGTCACGATCCAGGAAACTGCACAGTTCAGAAACTGTAGTTTGTTTTGACTCAGTACAAACAACTGCATGTTTTTGAAAATTAAAAAAGATTGTCAAAATGATCACATTTGCACACAATTGAGTCAAAGTGGCAACATTTTTGAAATTGTTGCTTGTTCAATGAGCTTAACACAAACCAGCCGACTCTCGTCGGGTCCCATTAATAATAATAATAATAATAATCCTTGCATTTGATATAGCGCTTTTCACGTCGGGAGGACGTCCCAAAGCGCTTCACAGAACACACTGTAAAGTGAATTGACTGTATATTTGTGGGCGAACGCGGCAGCCAATTGCGCACAGCAATGTCCCACAAACAGTCGTTGATTGAAAATGACCAATTTATTATTGTTTTTGGTTTTGGAGGGATTATTATTAGGCTCTGTGTGGAGTAAGGAAACTTGCCCAAGGTTTCGCCCTCTGCCTGGAATTGAACTCAGGTCTCTCACTTGCAAAGCGAGTGCTCTAACCACTGAGCTACAGGACTCCACATTAAAGAATTAGTTGGACGGACGTATGTCCTATTTGGAAACAATTTATTTTCACTATGTCACTGAACATTACTCATGTTATGAGTTTACGTACAAGCAAGTAGTCTATTATAAAAGCTTCATGGAGAATGCCAGCTGACAAATGGTTGTTTGTCCCTGATTTGCAGGCTTCAATAATCGCTACACAAAGCCCAAAGGACCAAGAGATCCCCCTTCTGAGTGGACATGATGGAGCAGATGTTCAGGTGGACCATAGTACCCGCGTATCGTCCAAGTGCCACTAAAGGACTGAATAGATACAAAAAATATTCGCACTCACTAAACACAATCTTTCTTTACTAACCAAGCAAGAGCAATTTAGACGTCTCTTCAGTTGCAGAATGGTACATGTTTCACAACTATTGTAACTTGCTAAATAAAGAACCTTCCGAGGGTGTGGATTTCGGTGCTAAATCTCTCTCTGCTGGGACCATTTTTACCTGCCTTACTTCACACTTCAGAAAAGTATTAAGACGTAAAGAAAGTCTGCAGAAAGTATTACAGGCCTTAATTTTTTGTGGAATTTGTTACACTGCTTGTAGGATTGTATATTAATACAGTAAAATAAGTATAAATAGGGAGTCTGTGGACAGTTATTCTTTGCTAACTTGCAGAAACTATGACTATGTGCATTACTCTTTTATAAATGTACAGGGCAGGTAGGTATATAATTGACAATGTTGCAGGCATTAAATATTCTTAACAGAAGATGTAAGAAATCTGTGCATGATCTAAAACTTTTTTGTGTACCATTTTTGTAAATTATTTGCCCTGAAGTTATAGAAAATAATTCTTTCAGGTGTTCTTAACTGCTGGAAATGAGCAGCCAGCTTGCAGTTTAACAGGGGTTGAGATTGTAATAATACATTTGTAAATTGTAAGCAAAAGGATATTTTTATATTATATGCTGTGTTAATAACCAATCCCGCTTTGATTTGTTGTTCATTCGGCCTTGAATTTAGTAAGTGCCTTCGAACAGTATGCAGTTCTGTTAACATCACACATGCATTTTGTTTGTGCATGTGCACGTTTGGGGCAAGAAGACTATCAGCCACAAAAAGACCTGTATTTTACGTTGTATTGACCTGTCAGTAAAGATCTTTAAGCAAACTAGTTTGTTGTGTTGCTTCTAAGGATTCAAACGCATAATGGCTTCTTGCTTTGTTGAGTCACCTATCAAACTGTTCAAATGTTATGTTTAGATAAGTTTTAATTTCTTAATCACGCCATTATGTAAGTGTGAATGAGCAGCATTCTTGCTTTTTTTAAAAAAAAGGGCTACAAATAATTTTCTACTTGTCTCACAATGCCTCTAGAAGTCATTATATTTTCCACAAAATGTTATTACAGTTATAGGAATTAGAGGTCAAATCTCAGATAAGCTGTCTGCCAACATGGAATATTAGCACTTCATGAACTATTTGGTTATTTGTTATCTCTTTAAATTTATATTTGTTATTTAATCTTCACAATGGAAAGATGAGTTTAAAGTAACATTAAGTGATCTACAATTCATTGGATGGGAACAAGCTGAATGATCAATATATCATTAAACTGTAGTGGTGAAACAGGAGGGTGTATTTGTATTTGTTTTACCATATGCTATAATAATAATGTGTCACAGGTGGCAATTTAAAATGGGATTCGCCACTAAACTTTCAAAAATATACTAATAGTTAATTAAATTAATTGTTTTAGTCTACTTCTGTTTTGAAAACTTTTGTTACAAACAGATGCTGAGCTGAGTTACCACTACATATCCCAACAATGTGAGGGAATTGAATTGACATAAGCTATTGGATACGTTTGGACCCAAACGGTCAGCTTCAGGACGCCTTTCAATCAGAACCAAGTTATCTACAATAGTTTTTTTTTAATTAAAATGTTGATCAGAATTCTTTGTTTTTTTTCATTTTTGAGACATCGTCTCAAGGTGCCAGTTGATCGTGCAAGTTTTCAGCTAACCTTTGAATAAAACATAATAGCTATTCCAACAGTCAAAACTTGTTTTAACCATTTTATCCATTATCTTGGTTTTATTATCTTCCTATTTTACCTACCTCCAATCTGTTAAAATTTTATCTAACTTCCAGTCGTGGTAGAAACTTTCTTAACTATTTTAAATGACAAACTAGCCTGACCACGTGTCAGGCAATGGAAGTTTAAAAGACAATTCTGTCATAGAAGTAGCCCAATTAATTGTCAGCCTGGAGCGAGGTCAAAAACATGAATTAATTGTTGGAGGCACACTGAATGTTTAAAAGATTGTAGATGGTGTTATACTCTGAGGTTTTAGGATTTACTTTTGAAGATATAAATTCTCAGCCAAAACACATTTTAATGAGTTTGTCTTGAGTAGGATAAATGTAGGGATAATTGAATTGCAATACCTTAGATTAAATGACATCCGTTTTCAAAACCGCAATTAAGCTTTTAAACCCTGTTGCAGCTAGTTGTATAGCAAGCTTATTTTTCAGTATTAATTTTCACCACAAAATTCAGGTTTGCGAATAATGTTTTCTTGAGATTGTACATCATAACTAAGATTGTAGTTAAGTAATGTAATGGATTGCCCAGTGAGTAGTGTGAAAGGTTTGTTTTAAAATGAAGCTGGCAATCTAGTTTTGGGGATGGTAGATATTAATAAACAAGCTAATGGTTTATTTTTAAAAAAAGTGAAATTCCTACTGGAGCCTTATAACTAGAACAAGTCAACGTTCGGTCGCGATCTTATTTCAGAGTACATACAATAGCTGAATGAATACATTCACATTTACAGCATCACTTTAACAAGGAATCATCAAAGCCAATACTGTTAACAATAATCAATCTTGCATCTCTGTTTTTCCAGAACTTCAGATACAGGCTTTTGTTATTGCCTTCCTTCCTATGGACAACTATACAATTATTTTCCAACACACTTTAACACAGTTGTAATGCATGTTTTTGAAAAATCTATTTTGCATCTTAGCAGTAGTTTTCACTTCGTCATTTGTAAAAATTATAAAATTTGATGGATTACATGCAGTTATCAGGATAGCCCTGCATAACTTTATACCATTGCTTTATTTTGATAGAATATTTGTTTTAAAAGCTGAAACTGAAAATGGGTTATTTAAAGTGTATCAATTATAAAAGTACAGTAAAATCTAATTGCTGAACTGAATTCACGAATTCTGACAACCCTGAAACTGGGATGTGATGACTAGAAGGTTTATGAAATCCAGAAAGAAACCCTTTCAGAACTACTGTACCATGCCAATATTTCTTTCAGTATCTGCATTTTATCTGTAGAATGAAATCTTTGACTTGATGATTGCATTTCACAACAGTTTCCATTGAAAGCACTATAGATGCACACTAACATTTGTAGATCCACAATCTGTTTTAGTTTCCTGATGTGAAATTGTTATTATGCAGCAGTAAACTAAATGTACTGTGAATGTATAAAATAAAAACTGACCCTGTTCATTCACTATTTTCACGTGTGGAATCTTCACCCATACACAAAGTGCTTAATACCTTTTTTCCGGTTAATCAAAACGAATGTACAGTAAAATATAGATAATCAGTTAATTTTCATTTGATTGTCTTTTGGCACTTATTCCCTTTCTTGCAAATTGGTACACGTTAATGAAAATTATTTGTAGAACTTGCTCTTGTGAAATGACCATTTAAAAAAAAATGCTATGCACTGTTGGTATACACTAAACACCCAGCTCCCTGGGACGCCTTCCCGACTGTACAAATGTAATTTGTTGTTGTATCTGGATTTTAAAAAAATATCTAGTTGTCAATTACTGTTCCCACACTCTGTTATTGATCACTCCCAGGAGTTGTCACTCTCGGATTCCTATTGCTAGAGTTGACCATGTTGTGTGGACAGCTAATCGTAACCTGTGAAGAGACAGCGATTTTCACTGTAACACCGTTGTCTGCTTGGAGAGCCTGACAAATGTCAATTAAATTTAAGATTAATTGCCATATTTACCTACAAATACAGTCCAATAAAATCCTCCAACATACCTGGAGAGGTCTTGATGATGTGAAATCAAATGCAAGGATTATTATACATTAGAGCATCTTTCATGTCAAGAGGTCACCTCAAAGTGCTTTCCAGGATATATTGTCAGCCTCGACTTGTGAGGTCAAAGTCCAAACGTGACACTTGGCCTGCTCCACCACCTCGCCCTGTCCTCTCCATCATCGGAGGTCGGGTCTTTAACATTTCTGCACCCACCCCTTGGAACTCCATCCCGGAGCCCCTTTGCAGGCAAAGGTAGCTGCTACGTTGCACACCGCAATGTCCAACAAACAACCATGAGGTGAATTGTCAGCCAGGACACCAGGAGAAACTCGTGCTGTGGGCTACTTAACGTCCACCTGAACGACAGCACCTCCAGGAACTGCATTGGAGTGTCAGCCTAGACTTCAAGGGCACAAATGTGGAGCTTGAACCCACAGCCTTAGGATGTAAGAACATAAGAATTTGCTAAGCAAAAGAAGGCCAAGGTCCATCCAGTTTGTCTTCCACCATCCTGTCAGTTACATACACATGTCGTGTCCCAAACTCCAGCTTGGCTCCGGTCTGCTCCACATCCCCCGCCCTAACCGCCCTACCATCGATGGCTGGGCTCTCAGCCGCTAGGCTCTGGAAACTCTATCCCCCAGTGCCTTCGCCGCTTCTTCCCTTTCCTCCTTCAAGGCCGGTCTCAAGACCTTTCTCTTCGACCATGCCTTCAGCTCCCCTCTCGACTCTCTACCCCCTCCTCGCTCCCTCCCCTCACCCTGACCGTTTCCCCCCTGCTCGGGACCCGACCCAACTGTCCAGCGCCTTGGGACGTCCTCCCGACGTGAAAGGTGCTGTATAAATGCAATCTTCTTGTCTTGTTGACCAAAACGTTGTGATACCATTTATTTTAATAGTAAAAAAAAATCCAGAGTACAGACTTTGCTGTTCTTATTAAATAAACTACTGTAAAACTCTTCCGCCCGCATACTAACCCGGACCAAACTCTGTACCCACATCTCACCAGATCTGGCCCCGGGTCCACTGGCTCCCCATTACCGAACGGTTCGACTTCAAGATCCTCACACTCATGTTCAAATCCCTTCACTCTCTGGCACCGCCCTATTTCTCCGACCTCCTCACTCCCCAATCCACCAGCCGGCACTTTCACTCAACTGGCACAGGCCTCCTGCTCGCCCTCGCACCCTCCATCCCGCCATTGGAGATCATACTTTCGGCCACTACATCCCCCCAAAAAAACTCTGGAACATTCTCCCTCAATCCCTCTGCCTTGCTCCTCTCGCTCCTTTCAAATCCCACCTGAAAACTTTTCTCTTCAACTGTGCTTACCGCCCACTCCCCCCCCCCCCCCCCCCCGGCTCGGAGTCAGGCTCTGCCACTGTTAGGCGCTCTGAGACGCTAACCTGCGTGGAGGACGCTATATAAGTGCAAGTAGTTGTTCTTACTCAAGAGGCCACTGTGCTACCAACAGCCAAGCTGACGGCGAGATCAAATATAAAGATTATTAGCGTTCGATAACAAACCAATTGAATGTCCTGTCGCTCAGTGGTTAGAGCGCTCGCTTCGCTGCGTGAGAGACGTGGGTTCGATTCCTCGGTCGGGACGAAACGTTGGGCAAGTTCCCTTACGCCACGCACACGCCTCTGCTTACCCTCGCAGTCGGCAGGAACCCGGTCGTTCGGGTCACTTTTCCGGTGGTAATAATTCCTGTTGAAAACAAAAACGGTCATGAAGTGGTCGCTCCATCCACCTGTGGGGCTGTTTGCGGGGGACGCTGGGGGCCGGGGCGCAACCGCCCGCAAAATACAACAACAGCTTGGATTTATATAGCGCCCTCCGCGCCGGACGGCGTCTCAGAGCGCTTCTCAGTAATGGATCCCGGGGGGAGGGGTGGGGGTGGGGGGAGGGGGGAAAGGTGACCGAAGGCGCGGTCGGTAAGAAGGGTCTTCAGCAGAGACCTGAACGAGGGAGGGAGCGAGTGAGGAAGGCAGTGCCGGAGCCTCGTACCCGGGTCACTTCGCCTTCACCCTGAGAAGCGCTGACGGGACGTCTCGATGGCGATGACGAGGGACCGGGATCGAATGCGAGGAGGAGGAGGAGGAGGACGGTGACGATGGCGATGGGGGATCAGTGTGACGGACATGTCGGACTCCCTCTGACAGCTGAGGGGGCGGAGCTTCTCCTGCCCACGTCACTGGACATGACAAGCGGTGACCACGTGACAGCGGGACCCGCCCCGCCCACTTCGGCCCCCGCCCCCCCCACTTCGGCCCCCCCCACCCCCCCCACCTCGGCCCCGCCCCCCACTTCGGCCCCGCCCCCACTTCGGCCCCTCCCCCGCCCGGCTCGTCAGCTGTTCAATCACTCCGCGGTCCTCAAAGCTATATAATAAATATATATGTATGTCATCTTTCTATCAACACCCCCCCCCGTTACGGTTCCTGACACCTTTTTTTTTAAAAGCAAACACATTTCAATTCAAAAAACAGCCTCTTTTCCAGTCTTTGAAACATTTTATCTCCTCACCGCCCCCCCACCACCTTCTCCACACACACACACACACGCCCTGCGATTTCTGCCGCTCACTTTTGACCTGACAGGACCTAAATCAGCTCCACTCGACGTCGCACCGACCGCCCGTCCGCCTCCCTCATTCGCCCGATCGTCCTGTCACTTGAACGCGAGGGCGGAAGTCCCGCCTTCCGCCAAGCGATTCGGCCGTGCCCAACGTGACGGCGGAAGTCCCGCCCGCCTCCTCTCCCGCCACAGTCCGGCTGGCTCCAGCCACGTGACCTTCCTCGTGCGTGCGTGCGTGCGAGCGCGAACGAACGAACGAACGCAGGCACGTTCGGAGGTTGCTATTGACGTAAGCGCGGATCAATCGGGGGACGCGCGACGTGCCGGCGCCCTGACGTCAGGGACAGGTCGCCTCCAGCCGCACACAAACAAGCGTTAACATCGCGAGCGAGCGAGCGGGAGAGAGAGAGAGAGAGCGCGCGCGCGCGAGCGAGTTTTTTTTAATCCCTCCGCCTCGGGTTTAAGATGGCGCAGTTGAGTTATGTGCGTGTCGTGGTGGAGAAAAGCGAGAGCGAGGAGCGGCGGCCGGCGGAGCTCGCGACAGCCCCGGTCCCGGCCCCTGTCCCCGGGGGCGGCGACTTCATGAAAGTGAACCCGGCTTTGCGGCCTGTCGCCTCGGCCAAGAAGAGGAGAATGATGCCGCCGCCGCCGACGACGACGCCGCCGCCGCCGTCTGAGGCTTACGGTAAAGCCAGAGTGGAAGTGCGTGGCGCGGGGACGGGGGCGGCGGCGGCGGCGGCGGGGACAGGCACAGGGGGGGCGGCGGCGGGTGGGTTCCTGCCGCCGGGGGAGAAGGGCAGCGACGGCAGAGGCAGAGAGAGGCACGAGAAGGGCAGCGGCGGCGGCAACAACAACGCGGCCAAACGCTGTGCGGAGACGGGAGACGGCTCCAGGGGGGCGAAGGAGGTAAAGGCCACAGCGGCTCCTCGGCCCCTTCTTCTCCCTCCACCACCTCCACCCCCTCCTCCTCCTCCTCCTCCTGTCTACAGCAGCGCCGGTTACCTCCACTCCTTCAAAGCCCACAAGCTTCCCAGGGAAAAGTACAACAACAACAGGGACAAGGAGAAGGAGAGGAAGCACAGGGTCAAGAAAGAGAACGGCGACCTCAAGTTACTCCAGAAAGGTAAAGTCTCCCCTTTTTCCCTTCTCTCCCTCCTTCCCTCCTTCCTTCCTTCCTTCCTTCCTTCAGGTCGTGAACTGGAGGTGGGGGGTGAGGGGTGTGGGGGGAGGATTTCTTTCTCTCTCTCTCTCTCTCTCTTGATCTTTCCTTCCCTTCTTTCCTTGGCTTCACTCACTCTCTCTCTCTCTCTCTCTCTCCTGTAATGTTGACTGCAAACTCAATGGAGTTACTGTAGTGTTGTGTGTGTGTGTGTGTAGTGTGTGTTATGCGCAGTTCCCAAATGATTTTTTTTGGCGCCAGTCGGTGGAGCAGAGCTGGACATGGATATATATATATATATATATATTTTATATACACACACACACACACAGCACCTCCTGAAATCAGGAAATGTCACGAGAAATCTCCTCGAGCACCTGCTTTTTTTTAGAGAGGGCCATCTCCAGGGACTTGCTTTACCTCCCCCCCCCCCTTGAAGTGGAGGCCACATGTTTTTTTTTTGGGGTGTGGGGGGGGGGGGGGAATAGATAAAATAGTCTACGTGCAAATAGATGAGGGACTTTGATCGACTTCAGCGGACAATTCCTAACCTTAAACCGTTTGAATTTCAGTCAACGTTGACATGAGATTTTAGGACGACTTACGGTCGGTGCTGTAGGTAGTAAGTAACGTGGTGTTGACCTACCGCACCGCGCCGCAGCGCTTTCCGAAGGCCTTTTTCTTTCCAGGGGGTAATTCGTCCTAAAATCTCATGTCAGCGTTTGACTTGAGATTCAAATGGTTTAAGGTTAGGAATTGTCCACTGAAGTTGATCAAAGTTCCTTATCTGTTTGTACGTAGACTATTTTATCTATTTTCCCCCCACCCCCCAAAAAAAACATGTGTAGACCACCACAAGTGAACTTCGAGGGACCTCTGACTTAAATTTGAAAACATGAAGTCGATCAATGTTTTACCTTATTGCCTGGTGAGGAAATATTTTAGCTCATAACCTACGGACATTTTTGAACCTACTTTTATGTTCAAAAAATTCTCTACCCCAGTTGTTACTGTGCGGTTTTCACTTGTCGTTTACTTGTTGTGGTAGTTTATTTCTAACATGGCAGACCTGCGATTTGTTTTGGGGGAATCTCGATGCGATGAGACTATTCTGACACTAACGTTCAGTCCGTTCTAGGGATATTGATGTCAGAGGTGTAAAGGACTTTTTTTTTTGGTTTGTGGGGGAATAACTGCCAAAGGTCTTCATCCTCCAGATTCCATGGATGGATTCTGCAGTGTTTTGACTGTTCAGAAGTACTTGAGAACTTGCTTATGTTGTGGCGAGTGAAGCTTTTCACTGGTCAGCTGGGTTGAACTTGTTCTAACGGGGTTGTTTTGGAAACCGGGCTAGATAATGCATCATTTCCACAGTTTGTCTTGCAGTTTCCCTCTAGACTTTTTTTTAGATTATTGTTACCCTACACAAGTCCAATGGAATGGTTGAATTTCATCGTGAAAGCATCTCAGGTGAAACTAGAAATTAGAAAAAAGTATTTTTCACGTTGAACGAATTGATATGTGAAATTCCCCCAAAAAGCAGTTATTACATTGTTCAACTTTTCTACAACAACAAAATTACATTAAAGGTAAAATACAATACAAATTTGCATCAGGAGGACGTCCCATAGCACTTAAAGATGCCTATTGTTTGAGGCCACGTTTGATGGTTGTAAGGAGGTATTGAATACTCTTACGACCACATTGCTTCTTGTACTTCCACGACATGAGAAAATTCTATTGAAAGTAATTGATATAATAAATCATATAATAAAAAGCAACATTTTCTGGTACCTTTGGGGGTCATGAAGCAATTTTGTGGAACTTGCCCCCTAAAGTTTGGTAGTCTTTCATAGGGCGTGTTGTACATGGTCTGCAGAAGGAGTTTGGTGTCTCAAATGATTTTTCGTTCCATGATTTCCTATGTGCATTGGAATTTGTCCACAGGGAGGGAAGTCACTGGAAATGTATGTCCACCTACTGTTAGCTGTTGCATCAAACAAGGTTGCTTGTTCAACTGACCTTTTGTTTGGAGAGCAGCAGAAACTTGTAAAACAAAATACAGGAAGGTGGGTCAGATTTGTTACACGACTGTTAGTGACCAGACAATATATAAAAAGCTGTATTGCAGCTGAAAGAAAATAACATTTGGCTGATGGAGAAATGAAGAGCCACATTGTGAAGTCTACTACCAAAGCTGAAAAGAGGAGCAGAAAAACTAGGATATTTGAAGATTCTTACTGTACTAATTATCTGACATTGGCTTTGTGGGGACACAATTTCTTTTCTCTAACTATTTACAGCACCATTGTTCAAACCTATCTTTGTCATAAATACTTATACTTTTAACCAGTGAAAAAACATTTGCCTGACTTCTCATTAGCCAGTGATCCTATATCAGGTTTTTAACCATACTAGCCAAACAAAAATATCCTTTTGCCACGTGTTGGTAAGTAGTTAATGGTCCTTGGCAGATTTAATCGGCTGATTAAGTTATCCCATTTAAAGCATATTAAGAACTGTCAACCTGGCTGAGTTGGTAGCACTATTGTCTGATCCTGAAGGTTGTGCATTCAAGCCCCACCCAGCACTTTGAGCTTCTAGTGTAAACTGACACACTTGGACGAGTTGTTAAAATGAGGTTCCATCTGTTCAGGTAAATGGAGAAGTTCCCCTGGCACTTGTCAAAAAGAAAAGCTAGGGTCCTGGCCAATAATCCCCCAGATAAAATTGGTTATATTGTAAGAATGTGTGGGACATTGCTATATGCAATTTGGCTCCTGTGTTTGTCTACAAAATACTGTCACGACACTCAAGGCACTAAAACCTGAGAAGTGCTTTGAGATGCTTTCCTAACCTGCAAGGCACTAATTCAAATGCCAGGATTCTTCTTATTTATTACTGGCTTTCCAAATGTGACCGCACAGTTGCTAAATCACATACACCTATGCATTCTCCATTTATGTCCTATAATAGTGGGTAATTCAAGTTAGCTGATGATTAGGTTAAAATGCACCTACTTGATAAAGCATTGTATCAAAACAATTCAAATATAAATCTTTGAGTTTAAAATAAGAACAACAACAAATTACATTTGTATAGCGCCCTTCACGTCAGAAAGACGTCCCAGTGCAATGGGGCAGTTTTTTTTTAATGATCCCAAACGAAGAGAATGAGAAAATGTGTTGCACAATCTTGAAAATACAGACCAGGCCTTGCTACTGTACTTTGCTACATCCACAAAGCTGATTTCAGTGTTGTAAGCACATTAGTGTTTTCTGTTAAAATTTAAGAAAAATATTTCAAGTACTTTATGATAAATCTAGCAATGTGTCCATATTAACTGATGAAATCCATTTATTTGACTTTTGGAAAGAAGATCTCTTACAAAATTTGAGTATTCAGATATTCTACAGAATTTTGAAAGGCCTAAACTGAAAGATTCATCATCGTAGTTATTCAAGCAGTTTATTATTTATTTTGAAGCAGAATATGCAACAAACAGAAGAAATGGAGTTATATTTCTACATACCCCATTAAAACATGTGATTGAATGTGTGCTCCTCAAGGTGTTTGATGATAATAATAATCCTTGCATTTGTATAGCACCTTATCACGTCTGAAGGATGTCTCAAAGTGCTTCACAGGAAATGGAGTGACTGTATTGTAAGCAAATGTGACCGCACAGTTGCTAACAGCAGTATTCCACAAACAGCCTTGGAGTGAGTGACAGATTTTATTTGGGGGGGGGGGGGGTCGTTGGCCAGAATATCGGGAGAACTCCCTTCTCTTTTTGCATAGTGCCATGGGATCTTTAACGTCCACCTGAACAGGCAGATGGGACCTCAATTTAACATCTCATCTGAGGGGTGATTCCTCCAACAATGCAACCCCCCCCATAGCGCTGCATTGAAGTGTCATCTTAGACAGTGTGAGTTCAATACAGTAAATCGACTTTACAGTATTATCCTTTGAAGCCCTTCGAGATGTCTCAATGGCGTAATCTGCCACTATATCAAATGTAAGGATTATTTATTAAGTCCTGAAGTGGGATCTGAATCCACAACCTTCTGACTCTGAGAATGAGTGTTACTACTGAGCCAAGCTAACAAGATGATGTAGATGTTGAGTAGAAAGCTTTTATACATTTGGTATCCAGTGTCAGTATCAAGCGCTTCAGGGTCAAGTACAGGACAAGCAAGGAGCAAAGCAAATCTCCCTTGAACTAACAATATTCTATCAAACCGATTGGACATTTTCATCTTCCTCTCCAACGCTGCATGAGACAGCTGCATTTTGCGAAATTATATGTGCGAAAACTGCTGTGGAACTGTGCCAGTTGGTGCTGGTTTAAAACTGCTAAATTGATTTTACGTAGAGTCTTTCTGTCCAGGCATGAGAGGCTTGTCTTGAATAAATTGAAACCACACCACAAAATTCTTAACTAGTTTGTGCTTTTAAGATATCTTCAAATCCAAGACATTGACTTCAAATTTTTAAGTGTTCTAGTGTCTTAAGAATGACTTGTTTGTTCCCTGCATTTCAAAGTTAGGTTTTCCAGGAAGTTAGGACTGCAACTAATCACAAGGATGGTGTATGACAATGGCAATGAGGCATCTTGATGTCATTCCACGTCCGAAAGAAATGTACGCTTCACAGGATTTTACTGTAAAGCGTAGTGACACTATTTTGTAGGCGAACGCGGTAGGACAATTTGTACACAGCAATGTCCCACAAAACAGCAATGAACTGAATGACCAGTTTTATTTGGGGGGTTGTTGTTTGCTGGGACACTGGGAGAAACTCCTTTCTTTTTGAATCATGCCATGGTATCTTTAACATTGTCTGAACAGACTGGCGGGAGCTTGGTTTAATGTCTCATCAAAAGGACAGCGCCTCCAGCAATGCACCCCACCACTGGATTGGAGTGTCAGTCTAGACTATATGAGTTCACATTTCCTGAC